TGAGTTGTAAGGAGACACCCATTCCCCCCACAGCACTTAAAATACAGGCCTCTTCAGAGTTAGCCCTCCCTCAAGCAAAGGAGGCACTCCAAACTTTCATCTTTGAAAACCAAGAACTAGGAGTCAAATTTCCCACAAAACTGCAGAAACTGTTCCTACTCTTTCTGATTAGTTTTGTGGATTTTTAAAAAATTTTTGTTGTTGTCTTGTCTGGACAGCCGACCTGGACCTTGCTGTATAGATCAGGCTGATCTCCCCTGTGCTGGGACTAGAGGTATGCACCACCACACACCCCCAGGTTTTTGGTTTTGAGACACGGTCTCACACTGCTGACCAGGCTGGCCTGGAACCTGGGGCAGTTTTCTCAAGCCTCCCAAGTAATGGGATCTGAAGGCCTGAGCCACCCGCTGGGCCCTAATTCTTTTTATTTCATAGTTAAGTCCTAGGAGCTGTCTTTAAATTATCCCCAGAGCAAGCAAAGTGTGTTGTGCTGGTGTACAGCGTTCAAAAAATACCAGGTTTGGGTGCTGGAGAGGTGGCTCAGGGGTTAAGAGCACTGGCTGCTCTTGCAGAGGGCCCCAGTTTGGTTCCCAGCACCCATAGAGTGACTAACAGCCACCTATAACCCCAGTTCCAAGGGATCCAACACCCTCGGAGAGCTGCGCTATAGACTTACCCCAAGAAGCCTGAGGATAGTAGTGTACACATAGGTTTTTTAAAAAGAATTTTTTTTTAAAAGTGGTGGCACAGGCCTTTAGTCCCAGCACTCGGGAGGCAGAGGCAGGTGGATCTCTGATTTCAAGGCCAGCCTGATCTACATAGCAAGTTCCAGGCCAGCTGGGGCTACAGGGAGACCCAGTCTCAAAAAGACCAAAGAACAAAACTAGACGGGAGCACGCGTGAACAGCTCACATACTGAACCGGCACGGGCCGGTTGGCGGCTCCACCAGGGTTGCGAGCAGAGAGCCCAAGGCCAGGCTGGGCGGACCAGCAGCCCGGGAAGCTCCGGGAACAGACGGCCAGCTCCCGCTCTCAGCGCCAGAGCCAGCACGCGAACGGGCGGAGCGGCTTGGACCTCGGTGCTCGCCGTAGCGACCTCTGTTCAGGGGGCGGGGTTCAGCCTGGCTCCGCCCCCCGGCTCCACGCCGCGGCTGCGAAGCACCCAGCGGCCAAGTCGCTCGTCCGAAGCGCGGCGGAGATGAAGCCTGAGCCGCGGACGCTGCCGCCGTCGCCCAACTGGTACTGTGCACGCTGCAGCGACGCAGCGCCGGGCGGCATCTTCGGCTTCGCGGCGCGGACGTCCGTCTTTCTCGTCCGCGTGGGCCCGGGCGCCGGCGCGAGCCCTGGGGCGCCCCCGTTTCGAGGTGACCCCCCCTTCTCGCCGCGCACGTTGGGGCCGGGTCGGCGTTGAGCCACGGACACACGTCCCGGCGCTGGCCTCTGGGCGGTGATGAGGGCTGGCGCTCCCATTGGCGGGCTCTACTGGTCTTGACAGGTCCCCGTCCTGTGTATATTTTTTTTCAGAGAACATCACTTATCTTCAGTTCCTTCAGCTGGGGTTTCGGTCCTCCATGGGTACCGTGCTACCCACTCATCTGCGTTTCTGTCTGATTAACCGAGTCTGCTTTTGTTTCCAGTCGTAGGAGAATTGGTGGGACACACAGAGAGAGTCTCTGGCTTCACGTTTTCTCATCACCCCGGACAGTCCAATCTCTGTGCCACCAGCTCAGATGATGGGACTGTGAAGATCTGGGATGTGGAGACCAGGGCGGTGGTGGCCGAGCACGCGCTGCATCAGGTACGGCGGTGTTGCCTCAGCCCCTGGGGGGGTCTGTGGTTTCCGAAGAGTGGTTGTGCCAGCTCGCTGCCTGAGGGAATTGTAGTAGCCGTGCTCGCGGATCCCAAATCCTACTGATAGGTGCACGTTTTGATTAGAAACCAAGGATGTGGGCCATTCGGCACGGTGCTTGCCTGGTGTGCCTTGGATTCAGCCTCAACACTGTAAACAGCGTATGGTGGCACAGGCCCATCATCTTAACACTGGGGCACTGGAGGCAGGAGGATCATGAGTTCCAGGCCAGCCTGGGCTACATGAGATGCTGGCTCAAAAAGAGAAAGATACCAAGGGCTAAGGAAGCCCCAGTCTGTAAGTAGCTATAGAAGCACAGTACCTTAGTCACTGAGTCCTACTGGTTGCTGCTTTGACGCTAAGGTGGTAGAGTTGAGCAAGTGGACAGTTGGGCAAGTCCACGGTCTAAGAGTTAATAGGCCCAGCAAGCTGGTCAGCGGGTCAGAGTGGATGTTGTGAAGCCCAAGGACCCTGTCCAGTCCCTGGAAGCTGAGAACCGACTCCACAAAGTTTCCTCTGACCTCCACGTGCCCACCTGTGGCGTGTGCCCCCCGTAATAAAAATTTAGGGTCTGGAGAGAGAGCTCAGCAGTTAAGATCACTTTCTACTCTTCCAGACGAGTTCAGTCCCAGCACCTGTGTCAAGTGACTCACAGCTGCCTAAAACCCGAACCTCACAGGATCCAACACCCTATTCTGGCCTCCACAGGACTCATACATGGTGGCATGCATCGATCACTCTGGTACAGAGCAGTCTGAGTTGGGTGTGGTAGTGTGCACCTTAAATCCCAAGAGGAAAAGCAAGGAGATCCCTGTGAGTTCGAGGTCAGCCTGGTCTATGGAGTGAGTGACAGCCCAGCCGGGGTTACAGGGAGACCCTGTCTCAAAAGACCAAAAAAATGAAAATGAAAATAAAAAGAAGTGTCTTCAAATTAGAGAATGAAATGAGGCATGGTGGTGCACTCCTTTAATCCTAGCACTAGAGAGTCAGGGTCAGGCAGGTCCTTTGAATTTGAGGCTAACCTGGTCTACATAGCCGTTTCCAGGCCAGCCAGGGCTACAGTACCGCGAGACCTAATCTAAAAAAAAAACACTTTTAATTTTAAAAAAAGAATTATAATAGACATCAGAAAGCTGAGCGTGGTGGTACATAGCTGTAATCGTAGCACTCAGGAGGCTGCTGGGGCAGGAGGATTGCTGTGAGTTCTAGTGACACTCTGTCTCCAAAAAACAAGAGTACGACTTTAGATTACTGTGACCGCTCTGCGGGTAGTACTAACAGGCATTTACTGCGTGCCTGGAACGTGCCTGGCTTTAGACCGGTTACACGTTAGGCTCAGTGTTGACAGATGAGATGCAGTTCTCGCCTTCTTTTGAAGCACACCACGTCAGCGTTGCATTGGTCTCCACACGTTAAGGTCTTGGTAGTCTCTGGGGATGAAAAAGGAGTCATTTTCTGTTACTGGGTTAACAGAAACCACAGCCAGCAGCACCTCTTCCCTGAGCCAAGGACCATTTTCTGTCTTACCTGTTCTCCTCATCATGAAGACTTAGTAGCCCTCGGGTGAGTGAGTACTGAGGATCTGTGCTGATGGTTTGTGTGCTGTTCTGCCCCGGTTCTCGTGCCTTGCTTTCTCAGGAAGCCGACAGCCCTGGCATCTCAGACCTGTGCTCACCCCGCTTTCACTGGCTTCCTCTGTTGCTGTTTCCCTCCCTGTAGCTAATGTCTAACCTTCCAGATGTTAGCACTGTGCTTTTTGGACGTGGGTCGGGGCTCGCTCTCTGCCGGGCATGAGTATGTCACGGACCCAGTGTCAGAGGAGCCTGCGGCCTCTGCTCCACACACCTGCTCTGGATTAGAAAACTGGTCTTACTGATCATCAAGATGGCTTCCTCTTTCTCACACTGTCCCAGTGTGGAGATGGGACTGGCCAATCCATTAGGTGCTAGAGGAGAAGTCTGACCAGAACAGATTAAAGAAATTGGTGGGGTTGTGGGGACTGGGGATTCACAGAGACACCTCTTCCTAAATTTTGTTGTAAAAATAAGCATAGCCTGAGGGTGTGATTAAAGGTGGTGGCACATGCCTTTAATCCTAGCACTCGGGAGGCAGATGCAGGCGGATCTCTGAGTTTGAGGCCAGCCTGGTCTATGTAGTGAGTTCCAGGCCAGCTGGGGCTACAGGGAGGCCCTGCCTCAAAAAGACCAAAAAAACAGCCTAGCCATGAGACTGGAAGAGTGGGGATATATTTCTATATTGGTGTGAGGGGGGCTTGCTGTGAGTGTGCACTGGTAAATAAGGCCTGGAGTGTGGAGAAGGGGGTTGACCTGCTTTACTCCCAAGCAGGAACAGTTGAGATTACACAGCTAGGCGTGAGTGAGCTGGGAGATCCATGTGGAAGTAGAATGTTCCACTCTGGCTTCAGGTGGTTTCTGGGAGGTCTGAGTCAGAAAGCTGGAGTCAAGTTCAGGGTCTGGACCAAACTAGATGTGGAAAGACAACACGAGAGAGGGCTGGAGATGGCTCAGCCACTTACTGTTTGCTCAGAGGTCCCACAGGGGTGCTCACAACTCTAGCTCGAGTCCCAGAGGACCTGCTGCTCTCTCCTGGCCTCCTCACACATTGCATGCAGGTGATGCATGTTCGTACAAGCAGTCAAAATACCCATGTATATAAACAGCTTTTTTTATTTTTATGTGTATGAGTGTTATGCCTGCAAGTGTGTAAGTGCACCTGTGTCACACAATGCCTGAGGAGAACAGAAGGGGGCGTCAGATCCCTGGACTGGAGTTGCGGGCAGTTGTTAGCGTCCATGTGGGTGCTGGGATTTGTACTTGGATCTTCTGCAAGAATAGCCAGTGCTCTTTAACCACTGAGCCATCTCTCTAGCCCATAACATAAACTTTTTAAATGTTTTTTAAAAAGACTAAAGTGGCCCAGGCATACCTTTAATCCCAGCACTGGAGAGGCAGGAATAGGCTGAGACCAGCCTGGTCTATATAGGGAGTTTCGGGCCAGCCAGGCTACATAGTGAAACCCTGTCTCAAAAATAACAAAACCTGTCAGAGAATAAGAAAATGAGCTTCCCGAGGGAAATTGTAGGCTCAGTGCTTAGTGTGGAGTATCAGGCCAAGGATTGAGGATATGATTTAAGCTACTGAGACTGAGCAAAAAAGGAAAGATTGGGCTCAGCTAGACTTGGGGTATCGTGGAATTAAGAAGTCGACCCTGGGGACAGAAGGGACAATGTTGGAAAAAGTGACGGAAGCAGGGCTGGGGGGATGGCTCGGCCTTTAGAGCACTGGCTGCTCTGTAGAGGACCCAGTTTTAGTTCTCAGTACCCATATGGCAACTAACAGCTGTCTGTAACTCCCATTCCAGGGATCCAACAGCCTTTTCTGTCCTCCATGGGCATTGCATGGCTTGCATGCACTTACACACATGCAGACAATACACTCATACACATAAAATAATAAGTAAAATGTTTTTTAGGTTTTTTTTTTTTTTTTATGTGTACGAGCGTATTGCCTGCACGTAAGTGAGCACACCCGTGTCTTGCAGTGCCGCGGTGGTCAGAAGAGGGGTTTGGATTCCCCTGGAGCTGGACCTAAGGACAGTTTGTAGCTGCCGTGTGGGTGCTGGGAACCGAACCCAGGTCCTCTGCAAGAGCAGTCAGTGCTCTTAACCGCTGAGCCATCTCTCCAGTCTTGTAAAATGTTTTTAAAAAAGAGCGGCTGAAGCAGCAGACCTGGAAGTCTGTGCTGTGCCCTGGGGCAGAAGGGACGGGTGGGGAGAGTGTGAGTGACAGTGGAAAGGGCTGTGTGACGGGGGTACAGCGGCCACCAGCGCCGGAGCGTCAGAAGTGTGAGTCAGACCCCGAAAGACACGAAACTCACCAGAACCGGGTCCTCCTCAGTCCCAAAACCTCACTCAGATTTCAAAGCGACGCCATCTCAGGACAGTGACATTGTGTAGCCTGGTGATTTTAGGAGTCCAGGCCTTGGAAGACAAACATTTTCTTTTTTGTTTTGTTTTTTACTTTTACTTTTTTTCATTTTCTGGGTATGAGTATATTGCTTGCATGCTTGTGAGTGCACCTGTACCATGCAATGAAGAGAGCATTGGATCCCCTAGAACTGGACTTGGGGGGGTTGTTAGCCGCCATGTGGGTGCTGGGAATCGGATGCAGTCCTCTTCTGGAGCAGCCAGTGCTCTTAACCATGGAGCCGTCTCTCTAGCCCCTCTCCCTGGAAGCTTGTACGTGTGCATTTTGACATGATGATGCCGAGGGATGTCTGTTGCAGTGACTCCACGGGTGCAGTCACTTTGAGTAACTTCATACTTTATAGGAAAGCAAGCACACACGTCTTTGATCTGTACAGTTCCATTTCTAGAAGCATATCTACACTTGGCCTAGGTGTATACAAGAACATGCACAGCAGCCTTTTGTTTACGAGTGAAATGCGAGCCTTTTAAAAAGCAAAGGAACTGAGATCTGTTCGCATAGTACGTTCCCAATACAAAGTGTCAGTTTGACTGGGAACTAGGGACACATACCTTAGCTCAGTGCTTCAAACAGGATGGGCAAAGAAAGTAAACTACATGACACCATTCAAACATGCGTTTGAGTGTACAAGCCAATTCTGTCTGCCTTAGGAATAGCCACAAAAGAATGGCTGAGAACGCCGGGTTACAAAGTTCGGAAACAGTGACAGCCATAGCAGGTCCAGCTCTAGAGCGCAGAGTAACAGTTTTTGTCCAGTTTGTAGTTAGGAAAGGACTCACTCGGGGGCTGCAGTGTGGCACCATTGACAGAATGTTTGCCCGGCATGTGCGAGGCCTGGGTTGCAGCCCCAGCACTGTTTAAAGCGGGTCTGTTGGTGAGTGCAGGAAAATCAATAAAATATTTTAAAAACTTATTTATTTATGTTTATTTTAGGGATATGAGTGTTATGCCTGCATGTGTGTAAATGCACCCATGTTGTGTAGTGCCCATGGAATACAGGAGTGTTGAATCCCCTGGAACTGGAGTACCCCAACAGTTGTTAGTTGCTGTGTGGGTGCTGGGATTCAAACCCAGGTCTTCTGCAAGAACAGTCAGTGTTCTTAACTGCTGCTGTCCCTCCACCCCTCCTGTCTTCATTCTCAGTAATCTAAGGGTTTTTTTTTGTTTTTTGTTTTAAGCTCAAGGACTGTTTATTAGAGTTTGAAAGAAAGCTGCAGGTGGAGCTGCTTCTGGGAAGAGGGAAGTGAAGGTGTGGGCAAGAGAAAGCCTTGTCTGGTGGTAGTGGTGGTGGTTTGTTTGGGGTTTTTTCAAAATGGGGTCTCCCAGTAACCCCGGCTGACCTGGAACTTGACCAGGCTGGCCTCAGTCTCGCAGAGATTCCCCTGCCTCTGCCTCCCAAGTGCTGGGATCAAAGGCTTCAGCAGGCTAGCCATGCCTTTTGAGTTCTGGCATGGGCCTTGAGTGTCAGGGAAGCTGCTTAGGACTTGGGCCAGAATGGGAAGCCCTAGAAAGGAGGAGAAGCAGAAGCCAGAACTCGGCTTCCGGAGTCTGCAGCCACCTGATCTTTACCTGGTCTTCAGTTACAAGGATGGCATCGTGGTCATCATTGACATCAGCAAGAAGGGAGAAGTCATTCATAGGCTTTGAAGCCATGATAATGAAATCCATTCCATAGTCTGGTGTCCTGTGCCTGGTGAAGACTGTTTACCCATAAATGAAGAGGAAAGCTCAGGTAAGATGACTCGGGGGCGGGGGGGAGGTCCGTCCTCTAGACCTACAGAACCAAATGCAGAATTGCAGCAGCTGAATTACTGAGAACTGCGGGTCTCCCGCATCTGACCATGCAAGGGAAAGCTGTTTGGGAGCCCTTGAAAACTAACTTTTCTATCACGTGTGCATGTTCCATGAAATAGGTTGTCAGATTAGTAGTAAATAGTGACCATTGGTGTCTCTTCGGTGGTCAGGCCCATACAGAAAGTAGGGATAACTGCTGGGTCACCAGATAGAGTAGGGGTAACTGTTGGGTCACCTTGTTCACGAATGTAATCTGTCCAAAAGCTTTATTACCCTCATGTCCAGAAAGTTGCTGCCCCCTTGCACCCTGGGCTAGACTCTGTCCTGGACCCCTGGCTTTTGTGTTAGTTTCTGGTGCATTCCATGAGAGGGCACGGGCCCTGCTTTACTGAAGGATGACTGTTAGAGGGATGTTGGAACCTTGCTTGGCTGCAAGAATGGAGTTACAGCTTCTGAAGGACATTGCATAGTGACTGACACATATCCAGCACGCAAGTGTGTGCTTACCTGGAATGGTCACTTGGTTCAGATTGGTTTTGTTTTTTGAGACAGGGTCTCCCTGTAGCCCCAGCTGGCCCGGAACTTGCTATGAAGACCATGCTGGCCTCGATCTCACAGAGATCCACCTGACTCTGCCTCCCTAGTGCTGGAACTAAAGGTGTGTGCCACCACAGAGGATGGCTTTGTGGAGTCGTTCTACCTTTATGTGGGTTCTGGGGGTTGAACTCAGATCATCAGGCTGTCAAGGCAAGCTCTTTGCCCACTGAGCCAGCCATCTCACTGCCCTGTCACTTCATTCAAATTCAGCTGAAGCTCCCTGTGGAACACCTAGGTGTGAGTCCCTGAAGACGGACCAGCTCTGAGCCTGATGGCTGTCTACAGCGGCCTTGGGGCTCTGCCTCTGCTCAACTGAAGCAAGCCTCTGACTCTGACCCTGGCATGTGTGGGTTTTTTTAAGTGATTTGTTTGTTTTTATTTGTACAGTGGTTTGATTGTCAGCACGTTCATTGGTGTATGTAGTGCCTGCAAAGGCCAGAAGAGGACAGCAGAGTCACCATGTGGTGCTGGGAACTGAGCTGGGTCCTCTAGAAGAACAGAGTGCCCTTGTCCCTTGAGCCACCACTCCAGCCCCCCCACCCCCCGTGCTGTGTTCTATGCACAGTGCAGACTAAGGACCTCTGTGTCCATCCTGGTGGAAGTCCCCCTGCCTCAGTGTGTTGACTGCCAAGTTTTCCCCGGTTGGTGGAATTATAACCAACAAGGAGAAGGACTCCCACTGTGTTGTTAAAATACTTGAAAATTTTGAGGTGGGCTCTCAGTTCTAATTAGGAGCTCATTTTCCACCAGAGACACTATATGCACATTCATGTGTGTGTGCATGTATACCTGGGCTCTCATTTCTAATTAGGAGCTCATTTTCCACCAAAGACACTATATGCACATTCATGTGTGTGTGCATGTATACCTGGGCAGAAACACTGCACAGAAACACTACATGCATGTTCATGTGTGTGCATGTGCACCAGGAGGCCAGAGGACAGCCTTGCGTGTTATTCCTCCAGTCCGCCGCCTTTTTGTTTTTTTGAGACGAGGTCTCTTGCTGGCCTGGAACGTGCCATGTAGGCTCTGCCAGCTGACCAGCCAGGAGTCCTGTCTGCCTCCCTGGCACTTGGATTACGTGCTACCATGCCTGGCTTTTTTTACATGGGTTCTTCTGTGAATGAAACTCGGGTCCTCAAGCTTGCAAGGCAAGCATCGCACTGATTGACTGAGGAGCTGTCCCTGCCCACCCCCCACCCTCCCCTGACAAAGATACTCCTAATCATCAAATGGCCACGATAGCCCGTTAATGCTTGTAAACCATAGGCATGAATTGAGGATGGCTGGGAAGTTCAGGTTACTAGTTTCGCTGTCCTGAGACCTTATTGGCTTTCTTCAAATCTACAGGTGTGATGGTTTTGAAATTGCCCTTTCTGAAGAGAAGAGGAGGGCGTGTGGACCCCACTGTTAAAGAGCGTCTTTGGTTGACACTTTATTGGCCCAAGAATCAGCCAGCACAGCTGGTATCCAGTTGTTTTGGGTAAGTCTGTTGGGATTGTGCTTTCTAATAAATACTGTTTTCCTATTCAGACTTGGCAGCTCCCAGGCTTCTCTTTGTAGATAGACAACATGGAGAAAGTAATAACAGATTCGTATGATCAAAGGCAATTTATATTTTCTGTATTTCGAGACAGTGTCACTGTGTAGCACAGATCGGCCTGGAGCTCAGGATTCCCCCGCGTGATCCCTTCAAGTGCTGACGTTAGGTCTGCACCCCTCTGCCAGCCTTTGTGGGGCGAGAAGAAAATGATGGGATCAGAAGTCCGGGACCGTCCCCTTGACAGAGTCCTAGGCACATGAGCCTGCGGGTCAGGACTGCAGGCTGCAGCAGGCATAGCTTGGTTTCAGTCCAGCCACCACTCACCTGCTTCCTGTTCTTGAACAAGAAGCGCCTCATGGAATGAGCATCCCTCACTTGCTGTGTGGAAGGGGATGGTGCCTATGACGTTCTCGCTCCTGGGATGGGTACCTTCCTTCGAGAATCGCAGTTTCCTGAGTGTATCCACAGGAAACAGCGGACATGTGCCCTCTGCTCTCACATCAGAGTCTTCACAGAACACACCTATGTCCCCAGGAGGTGTGGGGATTTCTCCCCACCAGCAAGCAAGCGATTCATTCTGCAGTGGATGCCAGCTGGATGTCCCCTGTTCTGACCCCCTGGAGGTGGTGTCAGTCTTCACACCTACCATGTGGGTCCAGGGGATCCAACTCAGGTCATCAGGCTTAGTGACAAGCACCTTCACCTGCTGAGCCATCTCACCCAGTTTTTAACATTATTTATTTATTAGTATGCGTACACTATGTGGAGGGTCAGTTTTTGTGCCATGCGAATGCCAGGGCTTGAACTCAGTTGTCAGCTTGGGAGGAAGTGCCCTTACCGACTGAGCCATCACCCTAGATCCCCCCCAGACACCTGCTACTTGCGAGCCCCAGGTGGTTTGACCTCAGCTGCTTTGTCAACCACAGTTCCCACAACCCCTTAGGTTCAGTTCCTTGGTGTGAGCCATTCACAAAACTCAGAAACATCTTTCACCAGTTTATAAGGACATTCAAGGGTATAGTTGAGGAGATGCACAGGGCAGTGTGTGGGAGAGGAGCCTTTCCAGTCCTTCTCTGGGCACACCACCCCAGGATGCATTATGTGTAGCTTTCTGGAAGCTCCCAGAACCCTGTCTTTCTAGGATTTATGGAGGCTTCATTGCAAGCCCGTGACTGAATTTTTAATATTTTACTATTTTTGTTTTATGTTTATGAGTGTTTTGCTTGCATTTATGTAAATGTACCATGTGTATGCTGTGCCCACAGAGGCCAGAGGAGGGCGTCAGATCCCCTGGAACTGGAGTTAATGATGATTGTTACCTGCGACGTGGGCGCTGGGAACTGAACCACTGGGCCATCTCTACAGCCCCTGTCTTAAAACTATATTGTGCTCCAGAGAATCATGTCAATTAAAGGAGACTGAGTATGTATTTATTTCACAGTATCACAGCTGTACTGCTGACCAGAGGTACTGAAAAAAATAAAATCCTCTTGACTGCTTTTAACTGAGGTATTAGAGGCAAGAGAATCTTGAGACTAGCCTGTGCTATGTGATGAGTTCCAGGCCAGCCTGGGATAAAAACGTGGCTGGACACTGTCTCAGAAACACTAAGGAGGTAGTACACAGACATGCTTTCAGACATAAAAGTCACAAGTGCCCTTTCCTCCACTGCCTTCCAGAGTTGCCCCGTCTCCCTCTGTGGGTAAAAGTAAACAAGGTATCGCTGCCTTTTCTTTAACGATTGTTTATTGTGTACGTGTGCACACGTGCATGCATGGCATGCGTGGAGGAGGTCAGAAGGCAGCTTTCTGGAGTTGGTCCTCTCCCTCCACCATGTGGGTGGCAGGAAGCAGATTCAAGTCAGGCTCAGTGGCAGATATCTTTACTCCCCGAGCCACTTCACGGTCCCCTTATATCTTCCTGCTCTGCCTCCCGAGTGGTGGCATTAAAAGTGTGTGCTGCTGTGCTCGACCCTTGTTTGGGGGGCGGGGTTGGGAGGTCCTCACTTTGTAGCCACACTGGCCTTGAACTTGTGTGCTCTAGCCTTCCCTGCACCTGGGTTCACAGATGCACATACCCACACCTAGTTCAAAAACTAGTTGTACTTAGGCAGAAAATACATTTGTAGAATAGAAAGTGCAGCTGCCAAGGGAAGATGGGCTTGGGCCTCTGCAACAAGAGCTGCCTTAGCGGCGTGTTCTCTGGGCGGGGCAGCAGGCCCAGCAATGGGGAACTGATTTAGGGTGGTTGTACGTTCAGTTCTGTAGGAATGTTTAGGTCAGGGGGCAAACTGATCACACAATTGTTAGATTCTGTTCCCTTGATGACAGATGCAGCGTGGCGCTCTGCTCCGTCAGTAAGCCTCGGGCAGAGGAAGGGATTTGGGCTCTCAGCTTTACCTTAGCCTTTGGACTTGGAAGTTGCAAAGGGAGCGAGCGGTTAGCGGATTCTTTTACACCTAAGACCCTTGGCCAGACATCACCAGCCTGCTAGCTGCTGAGCAGCGCGGGTGCGAGGTGGGCCCTTGCTGTTTCCGCAGAGGCGAGCTGCTGCTGTGGGAGCTCACCCAGTCACGCAGACGGAAGTTCATGCTCTTCAGCACCTCGGCGGAAGGGCAGAATCACTCCAGAATCGTGTTCAACTTGTGTCCTCTGCAGACCGAGGATGGCAGGCAGCTGCTCCTCTCCACATCCATGGACAGAGATGTAAGAGCCACTTCTCCACCTGGGGTGGGCTGGAAGGTGTGGTCCTCACCGCCATCCCTGCCTCCCGGTGCAGAGCCCCCAGCAGCAGGCTGTACCAGGCAGGTCAGCAGCAGGGTAAGGAGCTGCGGGCCGCCCAGCCTAGAGCAGACACAAAGAGAAGGCATCCAGGCAAGGCCGCACTCACCTCTCCAGAGTGCCCTCCTGATCCCAAGTTCATAGCACACGGCTGTGCTCCGCTAAATCTTTCTGACAGAGCTGTATTTAAGTCTATGACCAGTCTGTTTTGGACCAAGGCTACGCTGACTTGACAGACCGTTTTTGGAGATCGGGTCTGTAGCCCAGGCTGGCCTTGAATTCCCGTGTGTGTGGCTTTTATTTTCGCCTCCCGAGTGCTGAGGTTGCAGGTGTTTGCCACCACACCTGGTTTATGTGGTACTGAGGATGGAGCCCAGGGCTTCGTACCAAGTACTGTACCGACCAAGCCACGTGCCCAAGCCTGGTTTGGTAGACTGTTCTGCCCCATGCCTGTGGGTGTGAAGTACCTGTCCCTGCTGGGCTGCAGCTGTTTCCCTGCGCTGAGGCCTTGCTCAGTCTGCTTAGAACTGTGAACTGGGAGCTTAGCAGTGTGGTAGGAGGCTGGAGAGACTGCTGAACGGTGGAGGGGAAGCCCGGGTTCTCACTTCCTGACTATAGGATGCTGAGTTCACACTCCTGGATCCCTCGAGCTCTATAATGTATTGCTGATTTTTTTTTCCCCCTAAGTGAAGCTTCCATTCCCCCTGGACGAGCTGAATTGTGTTATCTTTACCCATTCTTTGAGCCTGTTCCATTTGTAGTGCTTAGTTCTTTACCTGTTTTTCTGCTTTTTTTCCTCTATCTAGCCCTAATTTTTACATTTTCAGGTAAAATGTTGGGACATGGGCACCCTGGAGTGCTGCTGGACGTTGCCCTCCCTTGGAGGCTTTGCTTACAGCCTGGCCTTCTCCCCCGTGGACGTGGGCTGCCTGGCTATAGGCGTGGGGGACGGCATGATCAGGGTGTGGAATACACTCTCCATCAAGAACAGCTACGATGTGAGGCACTTGTGGCACGGTGTTAAGTCCAAGGTTACAGCGGTAAGGACGGTTCTTTCTATCATACGAATTCTTTTCTGACATTGCTCCTTTATGTTTTCCAATTCTCTTGGAAAGCAAAAAGTGTTTAAAGGTATTTGTGATGAAGCTTGGAAGAAAAGTCTCATTTTCTAAGTTGTAAATGCACTGGGATCTTTTGTCATGTTTTACACCTCACTTAAACATCAGCAGTTTGGGGGCATTTTGATGGTTTTGTTTTGGTTTTGGTCTTTTTGAGACAGGGTCTCCCTGTAGTCCCAGCTGTCCTGGAACTCGCCTCGTAGACCAGGCTGGCTTTGAACTCACAGAGATCTGCCTGCCTCTGCCTCCCAAGTGCTGGGATTAAAGGTGTGCACCACCACACCCGGCTGTTTTGGTTTTTTAGTTGAGTATAGTCGAGCTTATGCCTCCAAAGTATCTGGAAAGAGATGCAAAAATGGTACTGGGTTGTTTTAAGATGGTAGGAATACAGTGACTTCATCCTTTTTTCTGTTTTTTTTTTTTTTTACATTTGTGTGTGTGTGTTTGCGCACGTGCACTTGTCCGCACAAGCATGAGGAGTTAGTAAGTCTTTTTTCCTTCTGACATGTGGGTCCTGGAGATTGAAGTCAGGTCATCAGATTTGGAGGCAAGCGCTTTTACCTGCTGAGCCACTTCACTTGCCCTTAACCTTGTTTTAATCCTTCTTTTTCTCGTTAAACAACGAAAATTAAATTAAGAGCAAGGACAGCACAAGGCCTCCTTCTTGCGCCTTTGATCACACACTCACCTGGAGACTTTCTCTCGTAGCTCTGCTGGCACCCAAGCAAAGAAGGTTGCTTAGCTTTCGGAACAGATGATGGAAAAGTGGGATTGTACGATACCGGCTCCAACAAGTAAGAACGGGGACCTCTCCTTCAGCCTAGGGACCAAAGGGTTGCAGCATGAGTTTTAATTTTGAGTTCACAAGCCTGATGCATGCACAGCAAGTTGTTTTAGCATAGAATGTTCTGACTCTAATCATTAAGGGTCAGAACTCAGATTTTTCTTGAAAAATTGTTTTTCAGGGTTTGAGGATGTAGGTCAGTGGGTAGAGCACTTGCCTAGCATGCACGAAGCTCTAGGTTCAATGCCCGGCACCCAGTAAACAGGTGGTGGTGGGGTGCGTGCCTGTGATCCCAGTACTTGAGAGGTAAAGGCAGGAAGATTCTGCCTCATCTATAGAGTGAGTACTAGGCCAGCCTGGGCTACAGAAGACCCTGTCTCAAGAAGAGAAGAAGTTAAAAAGTACTTTTTAGGTGACGCTGGTTGTAGCCTTCCTGGTGCTTGAGAATGACCGAGGTAAACCATTGTCGGCCTTGGGCATACATGGGGGGTTGAAGGGCAAGTGTGAGGGTCACACGTGAGCCCTTTGTTTTATCTGTGTCTGTCTGTGTTTATGTGAGCCATTGCAGAGCTGGGGATAGAGCTCATTGGTAGAACACGTGCCTAGTAAGAACAAGGTCCAAATTCAACCCCCAGTGCCACAAAATACAAAAAGTCCCTCCTCTGTGACTGGAAGGTAGGGGCATTCTCCTGGGTAGCCTGACTGTCCCTTGACACGCGAAGAAAGACTTTCATAGTGTGCTTCAACACGCAGAACTTGGGCAGGTTTCCTGGGTTAAATGAAAACAATTTGCCCACCTTTGCTTTGGCCCCGGGTTAGCTTTTGCCGGGTCTGTGCAGCGCTGTGTCATCTCGGCCCTTTTGCTCAAACACCACCACGTCTCCGCAGCACGGTCTTTTCGGTGAATGTTAGGAGCGTGTTTTCTGACCATCCACGTCATGTCTGTCTCTTTCCTTGCGCTGACAGTATCCTACTGACAGCTGGAGCTGTCTCGTCCCCTCGTAGGTAGTACTTAGCACAAGTGACTGCTGAATTCTGAAAGGGCCTGAGCCCAGAGTGAGATGGATTTCATAGCAGAGGCTGGCCTGGACTCCTGATCCTCCTCCTCCGCCTTCGAGGTGCTAGGAGTATTGCATCACCACAGCCAGGTTGATTGTATGTTAAACAGTTTCTTTAACATACTGAGTTACTTGAGACATACTAAATTAAATCTCACTCCTTTCTTTTTTGATACAGGATCTCATTGTGAGCCCTAGCTGGCCTAGAACTCGCTATGTAAACCAGGTCGGCCTCCTACAGAGCCTGCCTCTGCCTCCGGAGTGCTGCCCCGGAGAGTTGCATAGAGGCTAGACCTGTACCATTTAGTCCAGCAGCTCCTAGCCCCACGTGGCTGTTCATACTGAAAGTAACGAACAGTGCATGAGTGTAGATGTCCAGTTCTTTGGTCACACTGGCCATATTTTAGATGACAAGGGCACCATGTGGCTAGTGGGACAGCTGTTCCGAAGTAGGCTGGCAGGCTGCCAGGAGTTGGGAATGGTCGCTCCTTCCGGTACGGGAGCAGGGCAGACTCAGTACTCCCTGGACAGGAAGGTAAAGCAAGAGTGCAGGGCTCAGTGTGTGTAAACAGAGTTTTATTGGAACCCAGTCACAGTCCCCTGATTGCATCCTGTCGGGCCTCTCCCTTACTTCCGTGGCTTAGAAGAGTATTGACAAACGACAGAGCTCCCAGATCTTGGACTGCTCACGCTGTCCCTTTGTGGAGAAAGATGGTCTGATCCTCTCAGCCAGTAAAGAGCTGCTGCCGTGCCGCAGGGCTACCTACACACCCCTCTTCCCTCTCCGTCTCCCTCTCACTTCTAACCCCTCGTGTGAGCCGAGTCGATGCCCAGCACTCTATCTACACGCTTTACTCACATAGAACCTACATCTGGTTGAGTGCTTCTCCTCCTAATTAAAAACACTATTTCAAAGTGGTATTTAACTAGACAAAACCATTGACTTAAGGAGCTCTGAATCACCATGGAATTGCTAATGAGTTCTGCTAAATTCATGATGCTTCAGAAGCCGAGTACTCAGCCTACAGGTAGTGAAGCCATGTGGTAGGAGGGGGTGTGTTGCTGTAAGTACATCGCTAGGTGCTCAGCCAGAATGCCTTCTGTTCCTCTCACCAAAGAGGTTTTGGCTCACTCCAGAGTGATCAGTCTACATTTGTTTGATATGTGAACATAAATCCTGTAACTCGTTCAGTCCTGGGTTCCGGAGTTCTAGAAGTCACACGTAGACCGGGACTGATGTGGAGTCCCAGCAGTGCTCCCTTCTCCCCAGAAGCAGTGTTCTTTAATCCTCACAACTCACTGTCTCTAGGACACAGTAGAAAACATCTTAGGAGGGAGGCACCCTTGAAAGTCAAAAGCTTAAGAAATCTGTCTACCTTGAGATTTTCGCAGTTTAAGAATAGGGGTGGTTCAAGGGGCCGGCAGGCGGATCTCTGAATTTGAAGTCAGGCTGGTCTACATAGAGTGCTCCAGGCCAGCCAGAGCTACACAGTAAGACTTGTAATGCTTTCTAATGGCAGCAGGTAGGTCTGAGCTGACTTCACATTGCACAGTGATAGCACCTGCCTGGCAGTTGACTTGGTGCCAGACTTGGGTCTTAACAAATGGAATAAGCCTATAAGCCTTTAATCATGGCACTCAGGAGGCAGAGGCAGGCCGATCTCTTGAGCATTTCAGACCAGCCTGGCCTATCTAGCCAGTTCCAGGCTAGACAGTGAGACCCTGTCTCCAAAAAAGAAAAGGGTAGCCCGTCTCGTGCTTGGCTTCTGTGCTGCACAGTGATCTGCAGTGGTGCTGGAGGTCTTGGCCCTGCACAGCACTGGGTTCTCTCTATTCTTTTGCCTGTGAGTATCTAAGAGTACTCCATGTGTGCAGTGTCTGCAGAGGCCAGAAGAGAGTGTCATATCCCCTGGAACTGGAGTTACTACTGGGAACCAGACCAGGTCCTCTGCAAGAGCAGCCAGTGCTCTTAACCACTGAGCCATCTCCAGTCCTTGTTTCATTTTATTTTGGCCTTTTTTTTTTGTCTTTTTGAGACAGGGTGTCCCTGTAGCCCCAGCTGTCCTGGAACTCACTACGTAGACCAGGCTGGCCTTGAACTCACAGAGACCCGCCTGCCTCTGTCTTCCGAGTGCTGGGATTAAAGGCGTGCACCACCATGCCTGGCTAATTTTGGCCTTTTTTAAAAAAGTGTATATTTTATTTATTATTTTGATTTTATGTGTATGAGTGTATTGCCTGCATGTGTGTGAGTGCACCCGTGATGTGCAGTGCCAGCGGAGGTCAGAAGAGGGTGTCAGATTCCCTTGGAACTGGAGTTAAGGATGGTTCGTAGTCGCCATGTGGGTGCTGGGAATCAAACCCGGGTCCTCTGTAAAAGCAGTCAGTGCTCTTAATCAATATTGGCATCATTCCAAATAGCTGGATGAGTACTTCTAACTATATTATCAAACACTCTACTTTCAACATTTCAAATATTCCTTTTGAGAAATTAAATAGAAAATAAGATTATTATTATAATGGCAAAATAAATCTTGATCATTTCATCAACTAATAATTCTTTTTAAATTTTTTATTTGTTATTTTTCTTTTATGTGTATGAGTGCGTTCCCTGCATGTATGTGAGTGCACCCGTGTCGTGCAATGCTGCAGAAGTCAGAAGAGGGCATCGGATTCCCCCCGAACTGGAGTTAAGGATGGTTCATAGCCGCCATGTGGGTGCTGGGAATCGAACCCGGGTCCTTGGCAAGAGCAGTCAGTGCTCTTAACTGCTGAGCCATCTCTCCCGCCCCTTTTATTTTTTAAGATGGGGTCTTACTGTGTAGCCCTGAGTGGCTGCCTCTGCCTCTTAAGTGCTGGGACTAAAGGCGTGCACTACCATGCCTATCTTTGCCTTCTAGAGGGACAGATGAGAAGAATGAACCCAAACTGGTCAGATGGATGGGCACAGTGTGTCAGGGCTTGTTTTAGTACTGGATGTTGCTATTTAACAGTAAACTATTTGGAGAAAGGGTAAATTGTTTTTTCTTTAATATCAACAACAGTATTAATTATATAGGAAGGCCCTTCTAGAGAGAGATGGGCTGCTTTCAATCCCCCTCTGAGTTTCAATCTTCTGGTTTTCCCCATCCACAGACCTCCACAGATTTCTAGCACGTATCATAAGAAGACTGTGTACACGTTGGCCTGGGGGCCCCCGGTGACTCCTATGTCACTTGGTGAGTGTCTGAGCCACTCTGACTCCCATGAACGCATTCTCCCCTCTAGTCCTAGGGGTCATAAATGTCCTGGTGCTGACTGCTTGTGTGTTGTACCATGTCACCCTGGAGGCAGCAGGGCCGGGTGGTCACGGAGCAGCTGAAGGAAAGCTTGAGCTGCGCCCTCACTCTGCAGCGTAGCTCTTCTCTTTGAGCTGTGTTTTCCCTGTGCACAGTTAACCTGAGGCAGGTTCTGTGACTCCTAGGTCCCGAGGCTTCCCTCGCTGGCCACCCCCACCTCCTACCCCAGCTGCTGCTGTCCTCTTTAAAGTGGGAGGCCTGTCTGCCATCCACGGCTGCCCTCCTGTGACCCGGTGCTTCGAAACTGAAGTTCAGAGCAGGGGTCCCCAGCTTTGCCTCTTCAGAGCTTTTATTAGGAAGCTTAGAGTTTTCAGTTCACACAGAGTTTACATATTATTCATGTTCAAGCAGCACAAAACAAAGAATTGTCTCACTGCTGTAGTAAGAAAACAGCACAGTGTGTCCAAGGCTGTGGCGACCAGCCTGGGAACAGACCTCCTTTGATGCCTGCACAAACAGGGTTGTTGTTCCCAGCGGTCCAGAAGCCAGGTGCTTTATCAGTCTTCCCAGCATTCTGGGAGTAGACGCTCCCTCCCTCAAGCCTCTGCATCATCAGAGCTGGAAGAAGTCTGTTAAGCCCATGCGAGCCAAGCACTGTTGTCCTTAAGGGTGAGCTACAACTGTCTTAGAATGAGTTTTCAACAAAAGTCTTTGCTTTCTACGGAACTGTAATGAAGCATCTGTAGATTTCGGCAGCACTTGCCTTACACACACAGGACTGTTGGAATGCCGTCTGTTTACTCAACAAGAGGCCGGACGTGCCATTGTCACTGCTCTGACAACCTCTCAGTGACAAGTCCTGAAAGTCCTGAGCGCCAGGAGTAGGGTGCTTGTTTCTGGAACAACAAAGGGATTCTCCGAAGCTTTGGTTGGACCATCTGTGGTTCCATCTTTGGTGTCACCACTGTTCTGAATGTCAGAAGTGTTTACAGTAAATAAATTGTCTCAGAATACCACTGCCTCCTGCCTTGGAGGAAAGGAAACAGTTAGTTAAGCTTCTGTCTTCCACAGGAGGGGAAGGAGACAGGCCATCCCTCACGTTGTACAGCTGTGGCGGGGAGGGCATCGTCTTACAGCACAACCCCTGGAAGCTCAGCGGAGAGGCCTTCGACATCAACAAGCTCATCCGGGACTCCAATTCGATCAAGGTGAGCACCCTCTCAGCGCTTCTGCTTTTCCTGCCTCGCATACACCAGGGCCAGCATAGAGATACCCAGCATGCTTAGCAGCCGTCTCAGATAGTATGACTGTCAGTGAGTTTGTGTTGCCTTGTGTACCGTATACCTTAGAACATTGAGTAAAACAAAGAACCTAACATGGGGGAAGACTGCTCGGTTGCAACTGGTTCCTAATAAACTTGAATGACAGTAGAGTCAAGCTTTCAACCAGAACGGCGCCCTGGTCACATTGCGCACGTGTGGTCTCCAGGTGCACCTGCAATGGAAGCAGTTATCATCGTGTCTTTTTTGATACGGTAGCTCACTGTTAGCCCAGGCTGACCTCCAACTCCTAATCTTCCTGCTTTAGCTTCCCAAGTGCTGGGATTATACACGTGAACACACACACACACACACACGCACAACTGAAAATTCTCTTGAGTCCTTTGCCTAGAATCTCAAACATAGTTGTATGTGTTTTATCTTTGTGCCAATACATTTGTATGACACAACTATTTCTTTTTCACTCTGCAGCTCTGGGTGGCCTAGAGATCACAATTTAGGCTAGCTAGCTTGAAACTCACAGATCCACCTCCCTCTTCCTCCTGAGTGCTAGAATTAAAGATGTGTGTCATCTTTAAGACTTGTGTTTATATGTAGGAGTATTTGCCTACATACATGTATGTGTACCATGTGCATATCTGGTGCTGGCAGAGATCAGAAGAAGGCAGCAGATTCCTTGGACCCAGAGTTACAGGCAGTTATAAGCCTCCATGCGGGTTCTGGGAACCTAACTTTGTGTCCTCTGCAGGAGCAGCCAGTGTGCTCTATCACCCTAACCCCACACTGGACGTGGTCGGTTTGTGTGTTTGGGGGTTTTTTGGTTCACTTCGTTTTTGTATATGTGTTTTGTTGGGGTGGGGGGCGTTAAGACAGGATCTCGTGTAGCCCAGGCTGACCTCAAACTTGCTATATCTTCCAGGAGGATGACCTTCAATCCCTGATCCTCTTGCCTCCACCTTCTAAGAGTTGAGTTGCAGGCCTGTGCTACCACACCCAGCTGGTCTCCTGAAAAAGAACATTTGGGAATTTGTTCCAATGATTACAAAAATAGAAAAGGGAGACAGAATATAAACTCCCAGCTAAAGTTTAATTGGAAGAAAAGAGTTGGAGAAAAACAGGACATTGCGGCTGGCCTCAAACTCACAGAGATCTGCCTGCTGCCTCACAAGTGCTGGGATTAAAGGCCCGCGCCACCATGCCCAGCATTCCTTGTTATTTTTGTGTGGTTACCACAGAAGTAATATTTAATCATAAATCAATTGGATTGTATTCTTTCATCTTAAACGTTGTATGTGCTCAACCACCCAGTAATGAGTAGACAGAATATCAGTCCTGACAATATTTCAGTCCAGTGGCAGCTGAGTATCTGCATCAGAAGTTCAAACCAGGAATGTGCATAGAAATTTGAAATCCCTTCACACAAATGGTGAGGAAGTTATGGGCGTGTAGACAGAAGAAGCTAGCAGGAAAGCAGGGCCCAGGGCCAAGGAGCTGGCTCAGCAGGTGTACGGTGCTTGCCACCAAGTCTCACAACCTGAATTCCATCCCCAGGACCATGTTAAGATGGAAAGAACCACCTGACACAAAGTTGTCCTCTGACCACCACACATGTGCTAGTGCATACATACACGCACACACATACACACAAATGTAATGATATTTTAAAGAAAGAAGGAAAACGGCCCCAGCGGTGTCGGGGAAAGAGTGTACGATGGCAAGTGATGGAGGGTGGGAAGCAATCTTGGGGAGTGGATGCTTTTTGTCTAGGAGGCTGTCAAAGTCACTGCTTCCTTCCTCATTGGAGGATGGGTCATCTTGGTTCACTTCACCTCTAGGCAAAATGCTGTGGACGGAAGTTGATTAGGGTTGCTAATCACATAGTCCTGTGTAACTGGAACATGTTTTAACTCCGGGGATTTTTCGTGTTTTCTCATGCTGTTACTGGTTTGTAAGGAAGAAGGGGGATGTTTAGACTCAGGCTTGGCTTTGCTTTCTAGTACAAGCTGCCTGTGCACACCGAGGTCAGCTGGAAGGCAGATGGCAAAATCTTGGCTCTTGGCAACGAAGATGGGTGAGTGTCTTTAAAGAGAGCAGAGGCTCTGTGGTTGTACACAGACACAGCTGACGGACGTCCATGAGGCCAGGTGGGGAAGCAGTGTGTTTGCCATTGGGGTTTTCTCTGGGTGTGCTCAGCTGGTCTGGGGCTCTCTGCACCCTTGAGAAGACAGAATCATTTAGATCTTCTCTGTTCGGAGTCAGTGTTTGCACTGTGTGTTGCATATTGCAGTCTCTCTGTCCCGTCCGTTTTCCAGGGTCAGGATCCTCTCCGCCCCTCCCCCACACTCATTCCTGGTTCCTTGTGAGGGAGGGAGCTGTGGGGTGTGGAAGGGCTGCCCTGTGCATTCACTGCTGTCTCTGTTCCAGATCAATAGACATATTCCAGGTCCCCAACCTGAGACTTCTCTGCACCATCCAGCAACACCACAAGCTGGTAAATGCCATTGCCTGGCACCATGAACACGGCAGTCGGCCAGAGCTCAGCTACCTCATGGCCTCTGGTTCCAACAATGCTATCATCTATGTGCACAACCTGAGAACTGTCCTAGGTAATGCTGGCTTCTTCCGTGCTGAGCGTGAGCCAGGGCCTCGTGTAGCCCAGGCTAGCTTCTTCATGTGTAGCTGAGGATGACCTTGGACTCTGGTCCCCCTGCCTCCGCTCCTGAGTGCTGGGTCCCAGTCTTGCACCTCCATGTCCAGCTGCAATCTAGAATTCTACCCCTGGGAAAAAGACCTTTACAGTGAAGGTTTTAAGTTCAGGAAATTTGTCACAAGCAAGACATAATTTTATACCAAAAAAAGTCGGGGTTCCTCAGGTGAAGGACTTGGTGGTGCTTAGAAACTTGAAAGGCCATAAAAGAAGAGCTGGAAGGGGTGAGCCTCTCAGAAAGTGCAGAAAATACTAAGTAGTTGTTTAAAGCGGAAATGCCGTGAGTGCGGTATGGAGCTGTAACAAGTGTGGCAGCCGGATGTCACAAGGGCAAGGGTAAGCGTGCAAAATACTGGCAGCCATGCAGTCAGGCTCAAGGTCAGGTGTGGCTGCACAGCAGGTTCAAGGCCAGCCTGAAATATAAGAGACTCTTCTTCAAAGACGAATTAGATAGGGCGCTGGAGAGATGACTCAGCGGTTAAGAACACTTGGTGTTCTTCAGAGGACCAAGGTTCAATTCCCAGCACCCATGTGGCAGCTAACAAGCGTCTCCTGTCCCAGAGGATCCAGCACCCTCTTCTGCCCTCTTGGGGCACTGCATGCACATGGTGCACTTGGATGCATGCAGGCCAAACACACATTAAAAAAAATAGTAAATATTTTTAAAATAAAAATGAGTTAGATGGAGGGGGTGAGTGGATGAAAATAACATGTAGTTTCTGTATTTACTAAGCACCTGTCCAGAAAGGCTCTGCAAGTGCATACAGTGCCCACTGTGCAGAATCTGCACATGATCCAGCGAGAACTGGACCCCTACCTACTAAGTTAGATTTTCATATATGCATGAGTTAGGCTTATTTATTTATGTATTGTGTGTGTGTGCGCGTGTATGTACATCAGAGGACAACTTGGAGGAGTTGGTTCCACCATGTGGGCTCCAGGGATCAAACCCAGGTTGCCAGGCTTGGCACCAAGCACCTTTCCCCACTGACCTATGTCACTGGCCTTGAATTTGTCAGTCTCCTAAGTATTGGGATTATAGGCCTGGCCTATATAGTTTAGTCCTTAAACTGTTCCAGCTCCTTTCAGCACTGGCAGGAGCCACTCTAGGTTGTCAGGAGCCAGCTTTAAAACACTGCAGAAATGGGATTATGTTTTTGTGGAGGAAGTCTTCTGGTGTTGAGCTGAGTCATGAGCTCTGCCGTGTGCCCACTAGCACTGAGAATGCTGATGACATACATGTCTCCAGAGCTGACTGCCAGTGTTTGCTGAGAGCACAGGTTTTTAAATGAAAAGGTCCTTCTCTGTTAGTGGTTCCTGACTTAATAGCTGCTAAGAAAGCTCCCGTTCCTTTTAGTGGTATTACTGCTTCTCTAAAACTATCAGTTTTGGCAAAAGATGTTATGGTTTTTGATGGTACTGGGACTTGTGTGTGCTTGATAAACACCCAACCAGCAAGCTGCACCTTCATCCTAGCATTAGTGTTGAGCTTTTTTGGGGGGGGTGGCGGGGGTCTTTTTGAGACAGGGTCTCCCTGTAGCCCCAGCTGTCCTGGAATTCACTATGTAGACCAGGCTGGCCTTGAACTCACAGAGATCCGCCTGCCTCTGCCTCCCGAGTGCTGGTATTAAAGGCGTGAGCCACCACGCCCGGCAATGTTGAGCTTTTTATTTTTAGGGTGTGTATGTGTTTTAACAGTGTCGCAGTGGTGTAACCCTGGCTGATCTCAAACTCCATGTGAAGAGCAGACTAACATGAAACTCATAGAGATCTGCCTCCCGAGTGCTGGGATTAAAGGTGTGAGCCACCATGCCCTGCTTGTTTTTGTTTTTTTAAAATATTTTATATAGTATGTGTATGCCTGTATTGCCTGCGTGTAGGTAAGTGCACCAGTGTCGTGCAGTGCCCTTGGAGGTCAGAAGAGGCCCTTGAATCCCCTGGAACCGGAGTTACGGACAGTTGTTAGCTGCCATGTGGGTGCTGGGATGCAAACCCGGGTCTTCTGCAAGAACAACCAGTGTTCTTAACTGCTGAGCCATCTCTCCAGCCCCTTATTTTTGTTTTTTTGAGACAAGATCTGGACAGCCCAGGTTCCCTTGACCTCCTGACCCTTCTGCCTCAGACTGGGAATTGTTGGGATGACTGCTGTAGGTCAGCACACCTAGAAGGCAGTTTAACTTAAAGCTGTGCAGGTTGTGTGAGCTACATTCCCATCCTAAAGTTACAGCCAGAGCACCACAGGCCTTTCCAGGCTCCCTGAGTTTTTGGCTCCATCACAGTTGACTCACACAGAGCAGCTGTTTGGTAGTTGTTCCTGCAATTCAGTTTTATCTGGCATGTTCTCCTGAGTAGCTTCAGATGATCTGTTATTACCCAGAATGCCATTTGAGTGTGGCTGTGTCCTATGGCACTGTTTTCCTGCTGATGGTGTGTAGCTAACGGTTCCTGTGGCAGCTGCATGCCAGGCCCCGTCACCACACCATTTTCTTTCTTTAATATTCTGTGTTTTATGTGTGTGACTGTATTGCCTGCATGTATCTAGTGTTGTGCAGTGCCCTTAGAGGCCAGAAGCAGCTGTCAGATCCCCTGGAACTGGAGTTACGGACAGTTGTTAGTTGCCATGTCTGTTGGGAACGGAACCCAGGTCCTCTGCAAGAGCAGCCAGGGTTCTAACAGCTGAGCCAATCCCGCCTGCACCGTTTCCTCAATCACCTCGGTCTGGTGGTCTCACCACATTAGTGGTTTCCTTGTGTCCTTTCTGTGGTGGTTGTGACTCTTCTGCTTGCCTCTTAGAGAGCAATTCCGAGTCTCCAGTGACCATCACAGAGCCCTACCGGACCCTGTCAGGGCATACAGCCAAGATTACCAGCCTGGCATGGAGCCCACATCACGATGGGAGGCTGGTATCTGCTTGCTATGATGGCACAGCCCAGGTATTGTGCTCCTGCTCCACAGGGTCTTCACGTGGTCTTTCTCTCGTTATGTTGTCATCGCCTCCATGGTACTGTCCCTCCCTGCTTTCATCTTCTACAGAAGGACTGTCCAAGCTCAAAGACATTGTAGCTGCATCTGAGCCCTTAGCAGATGGATTCTGACTTACTACCAGTGTGGTGGACTCTGGTGACATGACATGTTCTCTCACCCAAACGAACACAAAGATGTTGGCTAACCATGGATACTTTTATTGTTTTGATTTTTGTGACAGGATCTTGCTCCATAGGTCAGGCTGGCCTCAAAGTCTGAATCATCTTGCCTCAACCTTCAGGTGCTGGGATTGTAGGCATGAGCCCCTCACCTGATCCCCAGAACACATATTAATACAGTTCTGCTTTGAGACATGCAATCTATGTACCAGTGGATTCCCATAGGAACACATGTTCATCAAAGCACCTCATCCCCCATATGACATAATTTTGTCTTCCCTGAACTAGGAGATGAGTTGTAAATCACATGAAGAAGTAGAAGCCACAAGATTATTTTTAACTGAGCCACTTACGCCCCAGAACAGTAGGACAACCAGAGATGTCTGACCTGTCATGTAACCTTCGTTTCCAGGTGTGGGATGCCCTCCGGGAAGAACCTCTCTTCAACTTCCGTGGACACCGGGGCCGACTGCTTTGTGTGGTGTGGTCCCCAGTGGACCCAGAGTGCATCTACTCAGGGGCAGATGACTTCTGTGTGTACAGGTGGCTGACCTCCATGCAGGACCATTCCCGGCCTCCTCAAGGTTGGTTGGATGGGGTTGGGAGCTCATATGTTAGCCCAATTCCTTCTGTTCCTTAGTAACTGTTGCCCAAGGCCAGCCACCATCAGGAGGGCAAGCCTATGCTAGAGGGCCAAGGACACACTGGCAGGGGACAGGTGCTCCTGAGCCCTAGGTGTAGGCTGCTGCTCCTCCTGCACCAGGAGCCTTGGGAAATGGAGGAGCCTGGGGCATCTGATACAGAGAGAAGGGGCGTGTGCAAAGAACAGAGTGCGCAGTCCCTTACTGACTAAAATGAGGGCAGTTTGAGCTTTGTGAGAAACAGGAGGGGCCAACAAGATGGCTCTGTGGGTGAAGGCACTTACATGCAAGCCCCAGAACCCACGTAAGGTGGAAAGTGAGAGCTGTCCTCTCTCTTCATGGGTGTTCTGTGGCGCATGCTCAGGCACACCCACTATTAGGTTCTTTTAATGTATATTGGACTGGGAAGATGGCCCATTGGGTACTTGCTGCTAAGACCACAGTTTTATCCCTAGGACACACATAATAGAAGGAGAGAACCAACTCCCACAAGTTGTCCTCTGAGCTCCATAAGGAAGTATGCATGCGCGCGCACACACACACACACACACAAATGGATGGATGGAGGAATGAATGGACAGATGGGAGTAATTTAAAAAATGTTTTTAAAGAAAAGTAAACAATCCCATTTGCATAAAAATGAGAGGAAGAAATTTATCCACAACAGTGACATTTCATGTCCTTAGAATCTTGTGACAGGATGCTCAGAGCAGCTCTGCGTTGGTTGAAACTGGAAAAAGTGCCAGTGCGGATGAGATGTGTGTCCCCAGAGGAACTCCACTCAGCCATAAAAAGAAACAAAAACATACCGACTGTTAAATGCAACAAGACTAATCTCAAAAGAGACACTGAGCAGAAGAAGCTAGACACAGGCTTGGTGTACCATTCTGTGTCTGTGAAATCCCAGACCAGGCAACAGACAGCCTGGAGCCAGGGAGGGCAGGCGTGTGACAGGCCTGTGGTGACGTCTCAGGATGCCTGGTCTGGGGTGGGGGTGCTGAGTCACAGACTGGACCATCAGCATCAGTCAAATTTCTTTTTTTCTTTTTTTGTATTTCTTCACACTTACTAAGAGGGACCCTAACAGTACTCAGCTGGGCACAAGGAGAACAAAACAGCCAAGCAAACACACGAGGGGTCCTATGTAGACAGACGCTCTTACGTTGTCCTTCCATAACCAATGTGTAATACTTAAGCTAAGTCTGATCTTTGCTAAACGAACGTTTTTGCGTACACCGCCTTCTCTTCATCGTTCTGTGCCTTTGTCTTTTGCTTGACTGTAAGCAGTTCTGCCTGGACACTTTACCTACTGGAGCTCCCTCCTCAGCTTGCTTAAGATCAGCCAGTGCTTGATCATATTCTTTCAGTCCTTGCCATCCTTGAGCTTTTCGGTACAGCACTTTAGTACTTGATGGTATTGATTTGGTATTTGATTTCAAGAGCCTCCAAACAACTGTCAGTTGCTCCTTGCCAATTTGACGTCTCCAGTTTACAAGCACTGATATTCGGAACACAGCTTAAGGCTACAGGATGCAGTCTGGATGGATCTGCTTTCTCAATAACAGCCTTTGAACTGTTCCCATATCTTAAAACCTTTGCATTTTTTAGTAGCCATCTCCCAGTTCTGAGATTTGAAAAAGGCATTTCCAATTCGGTTATTATTAGAATTTTATCTACATCTTTTAAATCTATATCTGAAGCCTCAGGGAGATCTGGATGACTGTCACCAGAGCCATCTTTGGTGACTGTTCCCCAGTTGTCCCCGTCTTTCAGTTCTCCACATTCTGCAGTAATGCACAGTTTAGTAGGGTTTTCATCGTTCACGTCTATTTTCAAGTGCCCTTACCACACCAAGTCCTTTAACTACTTGACCAAACACCACGTTTCCCATCCAGATGAGGTGTTGGAACTGTTGTGATGAAGAACTGAGGACTGTTTGTACTGGGGCCTGCATTTGCCATGCTCGGCAAACCCTCCCGATCATGTTTATAATGAAATTTTTCACCATAAATGCTTTCTCTGCCTGTTCCATTCTGATTTGAGAAGTCTCTACCCTGAATCGTGAATTTCTTAATAACATGATGGAAAGAACAGCCTTTAAAATGGAGAGGTTTCCCAGTTGTGGATCCAGTGCCGTTTTCTCCTGTGCACAATGCATGAGAATTTTCTGCAGTTTTGGGAACAATATCTTCAAATAATTCTAAAACAATTCCACCAACTTGCTCCCCTCCGATGTCCATGCCGAAGAAGACTCCAGGGTTTTGGGGGTTGGAGGGCTTGGCTAGCGGGGACGGGTGCTACATCTCCACTACAGGTCACAGGGAAGCACAACACTGGTACCATGTGCACCAGCCGCGCTCAAACTCCACGCCAAAGTTAGGCATTTCATGTCACGATAAAGACAAGTTAGTGGGGCTGGAGGGATGGCTCAGCGGTTAAGAACACTGATTGTTCTTGCAGAGGACCTGGGTTTGAATCCCAGCACCCACATGGCAGTTAACAACTGTCTGTAACTCCAGTGCCAGGGGATCTGACAGACTCTTCTGTCCTCTACTGGCATTGCATGACACGGGTGCACTTACCTACATGCAGGCAATACACATACACATAAAGATAATAACTAAAAAAATTTTTTTTTTAAATTAGCACTGAGCAGAGGACCACAGCTTTTAGAAAGGAAGAGGCCAGTGCTGGGCGGTGGTTAAGACAGCCCGAGTCCACACTGCAAATCAGTGAGCACTGGCCGAGGATGATGCACTCTCTCCAGTTGCTGAGTGGTGCTCCAGACCATCCACTTGGGAACCGGGTATATCTGGAACCTGTGAGCCTCCCACAGGAAATAGCACTGCCGGTGGTTATACTCTTAACAGACAGACGGTGCCCAGCACAGTCACCTAGTAACTGTCCTGCTCAGGAAGTGACCCTGGACTAGTGAGTGCAGAGATGCGGTTGAACCAGGCACCACCACGAAAGCCTCGACCTTGAAAACAGCCGAGCATGTCAGCCTGCATCCAGTCAAATCCCAAACGGGATGGTTAACCTTGGGTGATGCCCAGGCAGGGCCATCAGGCAGGGAGGGGAGTCCCAAAGCATCAGATCAGGGTGATGTTTTCCTGTAGGCTGCTTCTAACCAAGAATGTATTTCTGTCTATCCATTTTAAAACTGATTTTTATAGGGAAAAAGAGTATTGAATTAGAGAAGAAACGGCTCTCTCAACCTAAACCAAAGCTCAAAAAGAAAAAAAAACCCACCTTGTGGTTGCCAGTGAAGCAGAATTCCCCCGAAGGGGATGAGGACGAGGACACGAAGGAAAACTACTCAGGACCTGTGGAGAACGGGGTGTTGGACCAGGACGTTGAGGAGGAAAGCCAGAAGCAGTGCATCCTCGCTCCAGGGGGTAGGTGCTTGCAGAGCTGTCCTCCTTCCACGTGGACCTTGTCTCTGGCCTGCCGCATTTCCCAGCTCCTTAACTGAAATGGTGCCCTAAGTAGCTCTTGGAAACTGTCAGTTGTCTTTAAAGGGTCATGTGAAGTGTTTAAGGCAGTCTAAGATATTGTGGGGGTAAAAAAGTAAAGTTCTGCAGGAAAAAACCTTCATCTGAGCAGTTTAAGCCCATGGGACCCAGTGAGGCCACAGTAGTGTGTCATCAGCCAAGCCTGTTGAAGAAGCCACTGTCCCCTCAGTGTTTGACCTTTGAAGCTCCTTACTTTGCACCTGGCCCGAAGATGTGTCCAGCTTTCTGTCTTTGAGAAGATTGATAGGTAAAAAGTTGGCAGAGAACGAGCGAATGGATGATGAGGCACTGAGGCACAGCTAAAACTCCATCAAAATAGGGTTTATTAGCAAAGGAACACATGGGACAGATTCCCTTCCGGGCAGGGAAAATGTCTGCCCACGGATTGTGAGCTGAGGCTTATATATGGGGGCTTCAGGGTGCTGAAGGCGGGAAGTTTTTTTGGGAAAAATCAGGTGGGGGGCAGCAGGAAAAGCAGGGCTTTTAAACCTGGCTCCGTTCGGTCTGCCAGCCAGGATCTGGGTCAGGATGTGTTAAGGGAAAGCTGCTGTACTAAACAGCTCCTAAACTCTCTGGTTAACAGGCAGGATCTGCTTATCTTGTCTTTGGAGATCAGAGGAAAAGCAGGCTGCCTCTTAGAAGACTCTGCTTCCCCTGACTTCAAAGGCCAAGGTGCTTATCAGCTCAGTTCCCTTTTTCAGGCTTGAAAAATCCAAAGTCCATAGGATTGGGGAGAAGGGGGTGCTGCTGCTGTTTGAAACCCTAATAGAAATCTTCAGGGCTGCATAAAATATCCTTTACCTCTGTAGACGAAAAACCAAAGTTTGTGCTGGGTGTCACAGCACACACCTTTAATCCCAGCAGAGGCAGGTGGATCTCTGAGTTCAAGGCCAGCTTAGTCTACACAATGAGTTCCAGAACAGCTGAGGCTACAGGGAGACCCTGTCTCGAAAAAGCCAGAAAGAAAAAGAAAAACCAATTTGGCCAGGCATGGTGGTGCACGCCTTTCTGCGCGCCATTAACCCCGTCACTCAAGAGGCAGAAGCAGGCGGATCTCCATGAGTTTCATGCTAGTTTGGTCTTCACACAGAGTTTGAGATTAGCCAGGGCAGGAGGCAGAGGCAGGTGAATATGAGATTGAGGCCAGCCTAGACTCCATAGTGAGTTCCAGGCCAGTTGTGGCTGCAGGGAGACCCTTTCTCAGAAAAGACAAAAAACCATGCACAGTTAGCACCTGGTGACGTAGATGTGTGAAAAGGGAAAGTTCCTGTGAGCAGAGCTGGGGGACTCTTGGGCTGACAAGTTCATTACTTTTTCCACATCAGGTGTCTCAGAGATCGGGAGAATACAGATTCCTGAAGCACCTGAGGCAGGGAACACGAGCGCCCGGGAACGCAGCAGGGATGCTCTGGATTTCAGTTACAACTAGGAGCTCGATGCTCCGTGTGTTTTGAGACAGACTCACTCTATCCATAGCAGGTCTAGACCTCATGCTGTAGCCTGGGCTGCCTCAGCACCTGAGCATGACGTTGCTCCTGTGATGACTTTCCTACTTATTCTTGCCTTGAACTTTCTTATCTTCTCCCGTGGTGCAGTTTCTGGAGAACCAGTTACCTGCACTCCAGTTGCCTCAGGCTTTGAGAAGTCAAGAGTCACTGTGAATAACAAGTTGATTGCACCGAAGAAGGAACCACCCAAGGAGAAGCCAGGTCAGTACCTCTATAGCTGATAGCATTATGTGTGTGTTCCTGCCATGGGAACGGACTCGCCCAGTGGTGTCCCCACATGGGCCAAAGCCATGCTGATCTTCACGTCCTGCTGTGGTTGCATTTCAGAAACCTTGCTTAAGAAGAGGAAGGCTCGCTCCATGCTCCCGCTGAGTACCAGCCTGGACCACAGGTCCAAGGAGGAGCTGCATCGTGACTGCTTGGTCCTGGCAACCGCCACGCACTCCAGAGGTACATGTGTTGCTCCTCCCTGCATGGAGTTGGGCCAGCGTGCTTGCCATGTGTCCGTTCTGTGAGTGAGCAAGGCTCTGAACTCTGCATCCTTCCTCGTCTTCCGCACCCAGTGCCAAGCCCCCATTCTGCCGTCAGTACTCTCCGTGCTCCCCTGCGCCTCCTGTCATCCAGCCCTGTGCCAGGTGCAGCAGGCAGTGGACACACCTCAGGGAAATCTGCTTTCTGCTGTCCCCACTGTCATTAGGTTAAAGTGTTTCCCACTAGAAACGTTCCCATAATGTGGGAGCTTCGTGAAGACTTTGGAGAAGTTTGGCTTTGTCTTTATGGTGTCAACTTTGTTTTCCTTAGTTCATTATTTTGGTATTTGAGCAATGTTTTCATTTTTTAATTTGATGTATTGAAAAGAAAGCACATGATAGAATGAGATTCGGATAGTCAGAAAGTGGTCTCATGCCTGCAGACCAGTGCTACACTCTTCCGGGTCCTGCTGGGGCTGTTTCTTGTTGGTGACATTGGTGTTCCTGTGGTAGCGCTGCTGGGCGCTTCAAGAGCTGCAGAGCCTGCAGCAGAGTTGACATCATTTCCTATTGGAAATTATGGACCTTTTCACCCTGGGTGTGGAGGGTAACCAGGGACAGAACCCAGGGCCTTGTGTGCGAGACAAGTGCTGTACTGCTGAGCTGCATCCCCAGACATAACTGATTTTTATAAAGCAAAGAGTGAATTCTGAAACCTTTCGTCATGGGCCCCAGGAACACTTGAGGACAGTCCTGTTAATTTGAGGTTTGGGAATTTTATTTTTAATTACGTATGTTGAGGGAAGTGTGTGTGTGAGAATTCATGTGCCCACAGTGTCCAGCGACATCAGAATCCTTGGGGCTGGGGTTACAGGCATTTGTGCGTCTCCCAACATGGGTGCCAGGACCTGAACTTGGGTCCTGGAGCAGTGCAGGCTCTTGACCGCTCAGCCATCTCTCCAACCCCAGTTTTCAGTCTTTGAATTTGAGGGTCCCTTTTAATGTTTTTCTCCCATATCTTTATCAGAGCAAGCTACAAACTATATTGTCTCGTTTTACTTGCCAAGTAGAGCTCTGAAAACTTGTAAGCTACAGGGGTCTTGTTAGAGTGAACGAGGTTCAGAGCCCTGCTTTTCTCTGGCTCTGACGTGGGTGCTGGGCCATGGCAGCCGAAAGTTACTAGGCAGAAAGCACCGCCGTGTCATCACTTAACTGTTTGAGTTTTCATTTTCTCAGAGCCAAATGAGGATGTGTCTGCTGACCTTGAGGAACGATTTCACCTGGGCCTTTTCACAGACAGGGCTACGCTGTACCGGATGATTGAAACGGAAGGTGAGGCCAGTGTAGCCCAGCTCCCTGACTGTGACATACACCTCTGTGTGGCTGCCTGCCTGTGCCTTCGCCAGGTCACCTTCACATAATTGTGAACATGCTCCCATCTGGGCATTTTCATGCATCCTTGCAGACTGGTAGAACTCTAAACACACTGTTCACTAAGTGCTGAGATGAAGCAAAGATGGCGGGTGGACAGGTGAGCAGCGAGGGCCTGTGGACCTCATTCCTATCACTTTGGGCTAGATATCATGGCTTGAACCTCTAATCTAGCATTCTGGAGGTCAAAGTGGAAGGATCACAGGATTGAGGCCATCCTGGCTGCATAGTAAGTCCAAGCCAACCTGAGCTATGAGGGTTCTGTGTCTTTAAATGGGGTGGAAAGAGGAATGTTACAGGAGGTGGCTCAGCAGGTAAAAGGACCTGCTAGGCAACCCTGACCTGGATTCAATCCCCAGAACCCACATTTTTAAAAAGCTACATGTTGTGGCTTGCATCTGTAATCCCAGCACCCCTGCAGAATGGGAGGCAGACACAGGAGAAAGCAGCTGGAAGCTTGGAGCCCGGGGCAGCCGCAGCAAAAGGGGACAGCTAACTCTGGAGAGCTGTCCTCCGACCTCCGTACACACACACTCAGAATCTGAAATGTCTTTAAAATCATTTTAGTAGATGACTTGCTCATCAATAACTGAATATTTCGTCTCTTCCACTGTGACTTTCATTTTTTAAAGGTCCGAACACCTCACAAACATTGTCTCTTCTAAACAGGAAAAGGTCACTTGGAAAACGGCCACCCTGAGTTATTTCACCAGCTCATGCTTTGGAAAGGAGATCTGAAAGGCGTTCTCCAGGCGGCGGCAGAGAGAGGAGAGCTGACAGACAGTCTCGTGGCTGTGGCACCAGTAGGTATGTACTGTTCAGCAAGACTTCCATCAGCTCTAGGATGTGCCCAGGAAAGATGCCTCAGCACTGGTAGGACACACCAGTAGTACCAGCACCTGGGAGGCTGGGGCAGGAGGATCACCAGTTCAAGGCCAGTCTGGTATACATAGCCAGATCCTGTCTCAAAACATCAGTGGCTCAGTAGTGCTAGTCTTAAGCGGAAATTCACTCAGTGGGTGGTTGGACAAAAGCTGGTTCTGTGCACAGTGGCCCCATGCACAGTGGCCTGCTGTGGTGGTACAAGCACAGTTGGTGACACACTTTGTCCACTGTAAGTTGCAGTAATGGAGTAGCTGTGGCTCAGAGCAATAAGAAAGGGGTTCGTTTCCCTCAGTTCTGCAGGCTCTGCTGCAGCCAAGGACCGGTGTTGCTCAGCTGCGGCCTGGGCCGCCACCTCAGTGCATTACAGTGGGGAGTGTTGGGAGGGAGCGGCCAGCTTTTCTAACACCTCGGAGGGAGTGCTTTCCGGTCCCATCCCACTTCCGGACAAGGCTGCTTCATTGGAGAGCAGACTGGCACATGAGCACTGAGCTCAGACCGCATCTGAACTGTAGCACACGGAGCGTGAAGGAGACTACCACGGAGTAAATTTGAAAACACTTGTGACCTTTGGCCTAACAACAGACACCAAAACTACGCTCACACTCAATGACAAAATATGTAGACTTTCCAGCTGGGCGCGTGCCTTCAATTCCAGCACTCAGGAGGCAGAGGCAGACGGATCTCTGTGAGTTCAAGGCCAGCCTGGTCTACATAGTCCTGGGCCAGCTGGGGCTACAGGGAGACCCTGTCTTTTTAAGGCATCCCCCAAAAAAGAGGTGGGGCTGGAGAGAGGGCTCAGCGGTTAAGAGCACTGACTGCTCTTGCAGAGGACCAAGGTTCAATTCCCAGCACCCACATGGTGGCTACAAACCATCCTTAACTCCAGTTCCAGGGGAATCCAACACCCTCTTCTGACCTCTGCGGCATTGCACGACACGGGTGCACTCACGTACATGTAGGCGATACACTCATACACATAAAATAATATTAAAAAAATATATATGCCAGGCGTGGTGGCGCACGCCTTAAACCCAGCACTCGGGAGGCAGGTGGATTCGAGTCCAGCCTGGTCTACCTAGTGAGTTCCAGGACAGCTGGGGCTACAGGGAGGCCCTGTCTCAAAAAGATTAAAAAAAAAAAAAAAAAAAAAAAAAAATGTGTGTGTGTTTGTGTGTGCACAGGACCACACACATAGATACAAGAGAATATAATGATGGCCCCTAGAAGGAGAGAGGTTTGAGGCGAGCCACTGGGAAGGTGTCGTGTAACAAGGCAGCTTCTTACACCATGCCCGTTCTTTCATACTTATTTATCATGATGTGTACAGGCCATGAGTGTGCAGTAGATCTCCCCAGCTGAATACACCCTGTGGGACGGTGGCCTTTCGGGAGGCATGCCACAGCCAGTGCTCTGAAGCCAGACTTCCCAAAGCTCACTCATGCTCCCTCCTGGTTGCTGTCTGCTCCCCCCAGCAAGGGTCTTCCTGAGTCTTCTGAGTTCTATAGTCACTTGTATGCTGGCATCAAAGAAACAATTCCTGTTTCAGAGTGTGGGTATGGGAGGAGGATGGGGCAGATGCTCTCAGTGGCAGCCGGATTTTATCTGAATGTTCTGCTTACTGGGAATGTACCTTTGTCTCTCTGTTTCAGCTGGCTACCAAGTGTGGCTGTGGGCCGTGGAAGCCTTTGCCAAGCAGCTGTGCTTCCAGGACCAGCACGTCAAAGCCGCCTCTTACCTGCTGTCCATCCACAAGGTGTACGAAGCCGTGGAGCTGCTCAGGTCTCATCATTTCTACAGGTCTGTGCAGTCCTGGCCCAGAGCTTATGTTGGTGCAAAGAGAGGAGACTGCATCCCCCTGGCAGAAGGAAGGATTGTGATACAAGAGGCGCTCCCTTCTTAAGCCCCACACGTGAACGGAAACAACCAAGCCAGCCAGCTCCATATGTTACATATATAAATTCTCTAAGAAAAAGGGGGCTGGAGAGGGCAGCCGTCCCGAGCTGCTCTCGCTCTGGTGCTGGATGCTAGGTACCCAGTGCCAAGCACAACGAGGGCCTCATCCTGTAAACGGAGTACCGTTGGGTCTTGGTTTTCACACAGTCTGACAGTATCTGGCCCTGACTTGGGATTTAGATCATTGATGTTCATACTATAAACCTGGTGTGGCCACTGTAAATCTGCTCACCTCGATGTGTCACTCCTGACTCTGGTGGCTAAGTACCTCATTCTCACCTTGCCTCTGGGCTGACTTTCAGTCTGCAGTCCTGGCTCCCCAGCTCCACCTCCTGCCACATTTCCCTCCGCCCATCCTTTTCTCCAGTATATGCACATTACAGTCCATGTGGGACTTTCCGTGATTTAAATTGCTTTAAAGAAGACATCTTACCAGGCATGGTGGTACGTGCCTTTAATCCCAGCACTCAGGAGGCAGAGGCAGGCAGATCTCTATGAGTTCAAGGCCAGCCTGGTCTGCAATAGTGAGTTCCAGGGCACAGGGAGACCCTGTCTCATAAAGACCAAAAAATAAATGAGACATCTTTAAGAGTTTTTAGGCAGTTTTCATGTTCTCCCACATGCTTATCACTTGGGGATCAAAGGCGGGTGCCCGCCTGTTCTTAAGGTTTTGTGTTCACCCAAGTGTGTAGTCAGTCAGTCAGCTCCGTCATCTGAAGAATTTTGACCTTTTTGTTTATTTTTTATATTTTATGTGTACGAGTGTACTGCCTGCGTATGTGTAAGTGCACCCATGTTATGCGGTGCACACAGAGGTCAGAAGACGGTGTTGACTCCCCTGGAACTACAGTTACAGATGGTTGTTAGCCGCCATGTGGGTACTGGGATTCAAACTCCAGTCTTCAGCTACAGCAGCCAGTACTGTTAACCCCTGAACCCTCCCTCCAAGCCCTCAATTTGGGCCTTTTTTTTTTTTAAGACAGGGTCTCTCTGTAGCCCCAGCTGTCCTGGAACTCACTGTATAGACCAGGCTGGCCTCGAACTCACAAAGATCCACCTGCCTCTGCCTCCCTGAATTTGGGCCTTTTTTATGTCTCAGCTTTTCTCTCAGCTGTGTTAGTACCTCCATCCTTCGGGCCCTTCCCTGTGTATAGAGTTCCAGGCACCTGGAATCCCAGCTGCATGCTTTGTTTCCCAGTTTTGACTTTATGGGTTTTTTGTAACCTAGGCTGGCCCTGAACTCCTGTGCTCAAGCCTTGGGATTCTGGGTGCTGAGGTTCAGAGTCCGTACCCCATGACATTCCGTACTTTGATCTTACTGCGTGAGAACTCTGGGGTGGTTTGCTCTGTTTTTGTGACTGTCTTTTACCAATTTTCAGTAATCTGATGCTGGCTTTGGGGAAGCTTTCTCTTTGTTTACCCTGTCTGGGTTTTCTTGACTTCTTTAGAGGATTCTGGGCTTTGTTTTGGCCTGCTTTAACCTTTCTGGGAATGGGGAACAAACTTTCACTGTGCTAGCCTCTGTGACCATCCTCCATCCTCTGCCTCAGCAGTGCTGGGATTATACTACCCTTGAGCTCAGAAGGATGGGGTAGAGAAGTAAGTACTGTGGGCAGCTGGGCCTTCTGATGTGTGCTGCACACCTTGTGCACTGAGCTGGTCAGAGCGAGCTCTGGGAGTTCCTGAGTTCACAGTTCACATTGCCTCTGTTCAGCCTTGCAGAGTTTCCTAGACTGCTCTGGCTTTGTCTGTAGGTGGGGACTCGGTGGGATCCACAAGCAGAGTTCTGTTACTTATCTGTTGTTTAAAGAAGTGACAAAGGCTGCTGGGAGGGGAGGTGACTCATGTGGGAGCATTTGCTCTGTAAGCCTGAGGACAGAGTTCAGATCCCAGGCACGTGCATAAGGAACCAGGCTTGGCTATGTGGCTGTGTGTGCCTGTAACCCCATCATTGGAGGGGCCGAGGCTGGCAGGTCTCAGAGATCAAGGCCATCCTGGTCTACATAGTGAGTTCTCAGCTTTTCTCAGAGACAACTGCTATATGGAATGTGGCAGGAAACACAGGACATTCTTGCCATTTTGTCACTGGGGTTTTAAAATGCTGACTTGAAGAACTGGGGGAAATTCGTCATTTTGGATGCCTGTCTGGGGACACTCACTATCACAGGCAATGGAAACAGCACAGACCGTGGAGGGCTGGCCAGTCCTGTTTGAAGCCCTACAGAGGGCCTCATGGAGGGCCCCTTCACGTTAGCTAATGTGCTGGTTTTGCCTTCAGAGAAGCTATTGCGGTTGCCAAGGCCCGGCTGCGCCCTGAGGACCCTATCCTGAAAGAGCTGTACCTCAGCTGGGGATCCGTCCTGGAAAGAGATGGTCACTATGCCATCGCAGCCAAGTGGTAAGCGAGGGAGGAGCAGGGTGGGGATGAAAGGCCTGAGTGTAGATGTGAGTGTGGGTGAGAATGTGGAAAGACAGCTGTGTGGGGTGGGCTCAGCATCCCCAGCACTTAACCTGAGTCACCACAGCCATCCAGTGACCTCAGCCTCAGGTTCCACTGCTCATGTTTCCACTGATTAGATGAGGAGATTGGGGGGCAGGGAACCTGTTGGGCTTTCCTGTGCTGTTACTGTGTTGAGCCAGCCTGGGCTTGGCCTGCACAGGAGCAGCCAGACCTAATGGCACCAGGATCTCCGGGAGGCGTGTATAGATGTGGTCAGCGGGAAGCCGGGCAGACCTGCTGGTAACTGGTTGCTTCGCTCCTGTGTAGCTACTTAGGGGCCACTTCCGCCTACGATGCAGCCAAAGTTCTGGCCAAAAAGGGAGATGCAGCCTCGCTTCGAACAGCGGCGGAGCTGGCCGCCATCTCAGGAGAAGATGAGCTTTCTGCTTCCCTGGCTCTGCGATGTGCCCAAGAGCTGCTGCTGGCACGGAACTGGGTGGGCGCACAGGAGGCCTTGGGGCTGCACGACAGCCTACAGGTCAGTACGCCGCTCACCTCTGCAGTCTGGGGGGAGGAGGGATCTTGGGTCCTTCCCTGGTCAAACCCGAGTGACCAACCCCACCGCACTGCCCAGATGTCTAGTCTGGAACGTGTGCTTCAGAAGGTCTGGCTAGCTGTAGCTATATTACCTCAGAGTACTGCACTTGCACGTTGCCCGTGCAATAAGAGAGCCGGCTGCTGTTCCCAGCAACTCCCAGACCATCTGAATAGCCATTTGTGTGCCCACCAGCTCCTAGACAGCAGTCTCGGGTCTGTGCCTCATGTGATAGGCACTGTCTCCCTGAAGGGAGAGGACTCGGTGTCCAAGTCGTGGTATTTACATGCAACACACCTCTTCAGCTGTGGGCTCTGGGTGGGAAATGGAAGAGTTTGCTTTAGCTGATGCTAGAAGTGAGTGTGCCCTGGCCCAATGGGCAAAGGTCAGGGCTCTGGCCCTAGCACTGCACATGCCAGCGGTAGCGTTAGTACTGGCAGTTTGTCGCTGTCTTCTCGTACCAGTACAAGTGTACAGTGATGGGTTTGGGTGTGACGGTTTCTTACATGTACATAGGGTATTTGAGGCATGTATTCAGGCCCTCGCTGCCCTCTCTTACCCTACCACTGACTTCTGATAGATCAGAATTAAGATCTGTAGTCCAGCCTAGCCTTGGACTCACAGACCTCACGTCCCAGCGTCCCCTGCAGGCATCACGGTGCCACATGCCAGTTCTGATGTAAGCTCTCTAGGCTCCTCCTTCCCTAGCCCTCCAGAGATGAGGCCCTGAGGACAGTGCCCAGCTGAGAGTTAGAGGAGGATGTGAGGTGGGTAGCTTTCTGGAATCAACAAATCTGGACAGACTTTACTTGCTCACAACCAAGAAAAAGCCTTCCCAAACAGTCTGGCATTTCATTTTTTTCCTGAAGCAGAAAAAAGAAGGGAAAAAAAAAAAAAAAAAAAAAAAAAAAACAGGCTCAGAACCTTCGGGTCCACTCTGTTCGGGTCTCCCGAGCTTACTGAGAAAAGCCAGGGGTGCGCCAGGCATCTCGCAGCCACTGGAAATGCAGTGGAGACGCTTCCCGGGCGCTTTTGTTCTCCATACCTGCATGGGCCGGCGACCCCATCGCTCCTCGGTCTGCGAAGCTCGTCTGTTCCAGTGTCTTTGGCTGAGCTCTCTTAGTGCCACGTTCTCAGCTGCAGTGTGGGACAGGGAAACAGACCCCAGGACTGGGGCAGACCTAGGTGTGGCTTCCGGGGTAGACAGTGGGCCACCGTTAAGGGTTCTATATCATAAAATGGTTTCAGCCAGTTGTGGTGGCGCACGCCTTTAATCCTGGCACTGTCCAGGAGGCAGAGGCAGGTGGATCTCTGTGAGTTCAAGGTCAGCCTATTCTACACAGTGAGTCCCAGGCCAGCTGGGGCTACACAGAGACCCTGTCTCAAAAATTAATGAACTAAAATGGCTTCTTGGCCACAAAGGCCAAGGAAAGAGCTCGATGAAGGCAGCTGCAGAGTCCCCTTCACATGTGGCTCGATTTGGGTGGCAGCTCCCATAAAGGGGCTTATGCTCAGGCTCAAGGGGTTTGCCATGGAGAATGCTGCCTACCCGGGTGACCCATGCTTCTTTCTGGTCCCAGGGCCAGAGACTGGTCTTCTGCCTCCTTGAGCTTCTGAGCTGGCACCTGGAGGAGAAGCAGCCCCCAGAAGGAAGAAGTTCCTCCTCTACTTACCACGAGTGGGCCACAGGCTCCAAAGGGCCCTTGGTACAGAGAGTGGCTGCCGTGTGGCGCAGCACCTTCAGCATGGACACCCCAGAGCAGTGCCAGGCCGCCCTGCAGAAGCTCCGTGGAGTCAAGTACCCTGCCACTACAAGTAATACTCCCTTCAGACAGGTACGCTTCCCGAGCCCAGACAATAGCTGGACTGTGCAGACTTCTTCATCCCTCAGAATGACGAGAGAACACAGATTGTGCCTCAGAAAAGATGGGACACCCTGGGGAGGTCCTGCAGACCAAAGCCTTTAGCTCTGATGTCAGCCATAAATAAGTGTTTGCTTTATTTATTATTTTATATGTGTATGAGTGTCTTACCTGCATGTAAGTAAGTGCACCTGTGTGCTGGAAGGGGGCATCAGGTCCCCTGGAACTAGAGTTAGGGACAGTTGTTAGCCACTGGGTGGGTGCTGGGAACTGAACCTGGGTCCTCTGCAAGAGCAGCCAGCTCTTAACCTCTGAGCCCTTTCTCCAGCCCCTTGTTTTCATTTTTTTGAGACAGGCTCTCCCTGTAGCACCAGCTGGCCTAGAACACACTATGTAATCTGCCCGCCTCTGCCTCCTGAGTGCTAGAATTAAAGGCCTGTGCTACCATGCCCACCAAGTGTTCCTATTTTATTATTTTTGCCTCCTAAGAGTTTTTCTGGGTTTGAGTATTTATTTTAGGCTCTTGTTTGTAAAAATAGAAGAAGGGGCTGGAAGGAGGCGGAGCGGCTCAGAGCTTCCTGCCCTTCCAGAGAACCTGGGTTCACTTCCCACATGCTCACAGCTGCCTGTGACAGCAGCTCCAAGGGACCAGCCCCCTGCCAGTCTCCTTGCCTCCCTTGGTGTTTGCACTCACATGCACAAATTCGCACGTGCACACGAGATTTTTAAAATGCAAGAAAGCTGAGGTCCCTCTCATTCTTGTCCCACCCCAGCTGACCAGAGGTAGCAGCCTGCCTCGAGGTTACCACCTTGATTCACACTCCTCTTGGGAACACTCCTCGGCTTGTCTACATTTTACTCTTTAAATGAAGGAACATCGTATTTCTGAGTGAGGAGATGCCCTCAAATGTTGCATGCTTTGGAAAATATTCTTAGCCGTGATGATGCTCATAGATCATGCTTCAAAGACTTGCATGGAAACATGTGCAGGTGTTTCCACATCCATGTGATGAGGGAGGAGCAGGCTCTGGTGCAGGTCACCGAGTACCTAATAGATGTTAACGCCAGCACTAAGACCCAAGAGACCAGAACTCCAGGGTCATTTCCACCCAGGAATTCTAAGGGGGAAGGGAATTAAAGGGGTACAGAAGACATCGGAAGTTGCCAGGGGAGTGCCGTGAGGGAGGTGAACTGCCAGACTGCGTGGGGAGAGCAGTGCTGGCACAAGTGCTGTATCTTGGTGTCTTGGTGACAGTGGTAGCTAGACAAGCTATGTGCTTGTCAAACGCATCAGACTGAGGCTGGAGAGATGGCTCAGTGGTTAAGAGCACTGGCTGCTCTTGCAGAAGACCTTGGTTCAGATCCCAGTACCCACATGGTGGCTAACAACCATCTATAACTCCAGTTCCAGGTGATCCAATGCCCTCTTCTGGCCTTTTCGGGCACTGCACAACATGGGTGCACTTACATGCAGACAAAACACTCATTCACGTAAAATAAAAATAAAATTTTAGAACCTTGCCGGGCGTGGTGGTGCACACCTTTAATCCCAGCACTTGGGAGGCAGAGGCAGGCAGATCTCTGAGTTCAAGTCCAGCCTGGTCTACATAGTGAGTTCTAGGACAGCTACAGGGAGGCCCTGTCTTAAAAAGACAAAAAAAAAACCTACAAAAACTCATCAAACCAGGGGCTGCAGAGATGGCTTAGTGGTTAAGAACAGTGACCGGTCTTACAAAGCACCCAGGTTTGGCTCCCTGCACCCACTTAACAGCTACTAACCACCATACCTCCAGTTCCAAGGAATCTGAAGCCCTCTTTTGATCCCCAACATCGGCCTCTGGCCTCCTCATACGGACAGGACAGAAAAGCCCTACATACTTAAGTTGATCAGTGTTGCCTTAAGTATATTCCCAGGATTTTGTTTTGGTTTTTCTTTTGTGTGGTTTTGAAATATAATCTCTTTAAATCCCAGGCTGGCCTTGAATGCCTGCTCTGCCTCCTCAGTGCGGGGATGGCAGTATACACTAAACAGTGAGTTTCTGGGGTACAGGGCTTGTGCATGCGGGGCCAGCACTCCCCCACTCAGCCCCATTCCCAGCTCCCTGGTTTGGGGTTTTTTTTGTTTTTTTTTTGTTGTTTGTTTTATTTATTTTTATTTTACATGTATGATGTTTTGCCTACATGTATGTATGCCACATGCATACTTTGTGCCCTCCGAGAACAGAAGAGGATGTTGGATTCCCTGGAAGTGGAATTAGGATGGTTGTTAGCTGCCATGTGGGTGCTGGGAACCAACTCCCAGTCATTTGTAAGAGCAGCCAGTGATCTTAACTGTTGAGCCATCTGTCCTGCCCCTAGTTTGTTTTGTTTTTAATTTTATTTATTGTTTTTATGTGTATGCATGTATTGCCTGCATGTAGGTAAGTATATCCATATCTGGCAATGCCCTCGGAGGTCAGAAGAGACTGTTAAATCCCCTGGAACTGGAGTTAATGGACAGTTGTTAGCTGCCATGTGGGTGCTGGGATTTGAACCCGGGTCTTCTGCAGGAACAGCCAGTGTTCTTAACTGCTGAGCCATCTCTCCAGCCCCTCTAGTTTTGTTTTCTAATTTTAGCTTTTTAGAGTCTGAAAGGGTTTTTTGGTTGTATTTTTTGTGGTGGTTTTCTGAAATTTCTTGTTTTTGTTCTGTCTTGAGGCAGGATCTCTTGTCGCCCAGGCTGCTCTCGGTCTCATCTTCTTGCCTCCCAGTGTGCAGCCAGTGCGCCACGTTCACCTCTGTTGTCAGTGCAGTGCTCGGCCTTTAACACCAGACAGAGGGTTTTCGGATGGTGGAGTTGAGAAGGCGTTCCAAAGATGTTCCTTCTGTGTGCTTGCTCCTGAGTAGGGGGCTTGTCCAGACCCTGCCTCAGGAGGGTGTTGAGACTGTGGCTTCTGTTCCAGCTCCTGCTTCACGTTTGCCATGACCTGACTCTGGCGGTGCTGAGCCAACAGGCAGCGTCCTGGGAGGAGGTGGTGCCCGCACTGCTTCAGGCTGTGGTCCGGAGCTACGACTCGGGGAACTTCACCCTCATGCAGGAAGTCTACTCGACCTTTCTCCCCAATGGTAAGTGACTTCCCTGCATCTCTGCCTGGGGTCCACCCACTACAGGACAGCATGATCACCTCACATGATATGGCACCCGGAGTGCCAGGGCCACTAAAGGTAGAGATGAGCAAAGTCATTTTAGTAGGAAGTGTGCTTCCTCATAATCGAGCTCCTAAGAAGCAGCCAGAGGCAGCTGTGTGGTGCAGACCTATGAGCCCATGCTTGTGAGGCTGAGGCAGGAGGAGTTCTGAGCTATGTCGAGATTTCCCTGCCAGCCAGGGCTCCAGAGTAAGACCCCGTGTCAAACCAAAGAAGAGCATCCAGGAACCCTCGTGCTGCCTGCTCAGTTAAAGAGGTGCAGGAGGAGGAGCCGGCGTGGCCATGGGCCTGCCCCCCAGTAAGAAGTGATGCTGTGGTTCCAAGCTGGAAAGATTAGAACTCGAAGTGAGAAGCTAGCCGTTCTTTAAGCTCTGTAACGGCTCTGAGTGCAAGTCCGATTTTAGAGTGTGGTGTGACCTCACCTGTAATGTGGCACAGGTGGAATACTTTGTCATTTATGTTTGTTATCTGGCCATGACAGCATTGTCAGTGCCCAGCTCTGTTGGCTTTGGCAGAAGGCTGTGGACCCAGGGTCACACTGCTGACCTTCCCTGGGTCCCGCCTCCTGGCTGACTGACAGAACATGAGGGTGAGAAGCCAGATTTCTGGCAGAGAGAGGTGTGTGTTCCAAGATCCTTTTCTTCTAGGCTGCGACCACCTGCGAGACAAACTGGGTGACCCGTCCCCTGCCACAGCAGCTTTCAGAAGTTTGGAGGCCTTTTTCATCTATGGGCAACTGTATGAAATATGGTGGTCCCTCTGCAAGCCTGGTCCTGAGTCAAGCGTCTGCATGAGCTCAGCTAACAGTACAGCCTCCACGGGGCAGAGTCAGCCGGAGCACAGCTCCAGTGCCAGAGACGCTGAGCCTGGGATTGCTACCCAGCCCCGGCTTCCCGGCCCAGACCTGATGCTCAGCGGGGAGAGAGAGCGCTTGCTGAGCGCCTGCCAGGGGCTCTTCTCAGAAAGGCACGCCAGCCTCCAGGACTCCCAGAGAACTGTTGCCGAAGTCCAAGAGACACTGGCAGAAATGGTCCGCCGGCACCAGGAGAGTCGGCTCTCCAAGTCCACAGCCCATGGCCCTGACGGGGGTGTGCCCGGCCCAGAAGCAGGGCACACCCCCTCTGGTTTTCAGCACCCACGGTAAGTGCACATCCAGGACTGTGGAATGCCATGTACCTGCTGTGTTCACATACAACTGGGAAGCAGCATGCCACAGTGATGAAGGCAGGCCTGGCGAGCAGGACAGTGCCATCCCCCAGCTTCTGAAGGGCCCCGGGCAAGCCTTCCTGTCTCTGACCCTGCAGACCATCGCTCCACCTCAGTAATGCTGGCACAGCCCCCTGCCATTGTGAACTGCAGGTCTGATCCTCCCCAGACATGCAGCAGACTGTTACTTTAGCTGTGTTACTTCAGCAGCGAAACATTGTGTGGTTTTGTTTTTTGTTTTTTCTTGTTCTTCACAATTAAGAAAACAAAGGTCAAGGGGCATGGTGGTATACGCCTTTGATCTTGGCACTGGGTGGGGCAGCAGCAGAGGCAGCTGGATCTCTGAGAACAAGGCAGCCTGGGCAGATGATAGACGCCAGTCAGCAGTCACTACCCAGCTGGGCTGTGGTGTTTCTCAGAGGCTTGCAGTAGTTGGTTTTCTTACACTGAGTAGCTTTAATCTGTGAACACAGACTCATGCACAAATAATAAATCTTTTTTAAAAGCTTCAAAGCTACACTCCTAGAATCCCAGCACTCCATTGCAGAAGCATGAGGATGAGTCATTTAAGGGATTGTTGAAGTTGAAGCCAACTGGGAAATGGGAGACTGCCTTCAGAGAAGCAGAGCGGTCTGTCATGACCTGAGACCCCAGCCCCTTCTCCAGGTGCTTCTGTTGCTTTTGAGACAAGGTCTCACCTTGTGGCAGTCCTCCCACCTCAGCCTCCAGACTTCTGGATGACAGGCCTGAGCCACCATGCCCAGCTGTTTATTTTTATTTTTTAAGTATTTTATGAGTGTATTGCCTGCATGTATGAGTGCACCCGTGTCATGCATTGCCTGAGGAGGTAAGTAGAGGGCTTTGGATTCCTCTGGAGCTAGAGTTAAGGACGGTTGCTAACTGCCATGTGGGTGCTGGGAACTGAACCCAGGTCCTCTGCATGCGCAGTCAGTGCACTAACCGCTGAGCCACCTCTCCAGCCCTAGGTTTGCTTTCAAAAACAATGCTAAAGGCCCTCTGATGGCTCCTTAAGCAACATGGATCACAGGACCCCTCTGAGGAACTTAAGTCGCTGCTGAGAAAAATTCCCATCCACAGTCCCACCTATAAATGCCGTACATTCTGTGTCTCAAGCATTTGATAGGGGACATTGCTGTCCTGAAAACTGTCTGTTGCCTTCTCTTGATCTTTGTACTGAATGTGCAGGAGTTGGAGAGATGGCTTAGTGTTTAAGAGCACTGGTTGCTCTTCCAGAGGACCCAGGTTTGGTTCCCAGCACCCACATAGTGGCTGACAGCTATCCATAACTCCAGTTACAGTTCCCTCTTCTGGCCTCCGTGGGCATGTCATGCATTGTGTGCACTTTGTATATATGCAGGCAAAACACACACATAAAAGAGGAATAAATCAAAAAATGTTTTGAATGTGCAGAGTCTGGGTGTGGTGCGCCTATAATCCCAACACTTGGGAAGAAAAGACAGGTGGGTCTTCGTGAGTTCGAGGCCAGCTGGGGATACATTGAAACCCTATCTTAAGAAAAGGAATGTACAGAGGAAATGAACGTGCATTTTCCAAAACAAAATGATTGGAGAGCCAGGAAATCAGGCATCACTCACCATAGGGAAGTGCAAAGTAAATCAGCAAACCCAGGGTTGCAGCTCAGTGAGGGGAGTGCTTCCCTAGCATGGTGTAGCCCTGGATTCCATCTCAGCATGACATAAAAGATCAGACACACGGCAAAACCTGTGCAGAGAGGTGTTGGCATGGCCGTATTCACTGCAGCTCCGTGCACAGCGGCCTCAGGTGGGGAAGCAGGCAGGGTGTCCAGCAGAATATTCTTTAAACCTTAAAGGAAATTGTGGCATGTGCTACAACATGAGACAGTATGGGCTGCCAGGAGCTGGAAGGCACAGAAACTGGGAGTTACTGCTGAGTGAAGATAGAATTTCCATTTCACAAGGTCAAGAGTTCTGGTCATAGTTGGTAGCAGTGGTTGTATAACATAATGGTGGAAGCATTTAATCCTGAAATGCACATTTAAAAATGGTCAAGATGGGGTTAGAGCTGCAAGCGGGCCCCGAAGACAGGTCCAGACTGGACCCTCCTTCTATCCATGGAAGGAGAGAACCAACTTCTGAGCACTGATTGACACTGTGGGCACATGCACACTCCGCACGGTGACACTGTGGGCACATGCACACTCCGCACAGTGACACTGTGGGCACATGCACACTCCGCACGGTGACACTGTGGGCACATGCACACTCCGCACGGTGACACTGTGGGCACATGCACACTCCGCACGGTGAATAACAGTGAATTGTTATTAAAATAATTGGTGTGATAAGACCTGACTTCTGTTGTTCTTATTCACAGAGAAGAGAAAGGTGCACCAGTGTCTCTCCCTGAATTAACCAAAAGGCTCACAGAGGCCAATGAGAGGATGGCTAAGTTTCCAGACAGCATGAAGGTAAGGGTTTGGAGAGACCCCACTTGCATGCCCGGTCACTGTGTAACCCTGAAAATTGTCTGCTTGTCACTTTTGAGGTCCACCTAGGTGTGTGCTTGAGTGTAGATCCAGCCATTTCTGCCTAGCTGCAGGCCAGTAGAATCTAGAGCACACAGTAGGCTCACAGCTCAGTTGTGGAAAAGTCCAAACAAGCGTTCTAGTGTGGAAGGAGAAAGTTAAGCTTAGGTGGTAGTGCACCCAGTGCTCATGGAGGGTGACATGTCCACTGTGGCCCAGTGCTGGAGCAGTGGCCATGTCTGAGTTCTCTCTGGGGCACTAGGAGGGGTTGCACGCACAAAGACGTCCCAGCATTGGTGTGCACTCCTGGGCTCTATGGTCCCTGCCTGACCTTCATGCCTGACCCTGTGTGGTCTTCCAGGCCTGGCCCTTCCCAGATGTGCTGGAGTGCTGCCTCGTTCTGCTCCACATCGGGGCCCAGTGTCCTGGTGCCGTGGACTGCAAGCTGCAGCAGCAGGCCCGGGAGCTGCTTGAGAAGTATGGCCATGCCCGCACCTACAGGAGACCCCGCCAGACCCTGTGCACCTGAGCCGGGCCGAGCTGGGTCACACAGCACCGCAGTCCTCCCCCGGCCTTGCCCTGACCTCAGCCCCTCAGATGGAGGGCAGAGCGGATGCACCAGCCGGGCCTCCCGAGGAGAGGGAAGCAGAGGTCCCCTGGAGCCTGCAGAGCCTCCCTCGGTTTCCCCATAGAAGCCTTTGTACTCCCCACAGTGTTCATCCTTATAAACCCACCACCAGACGTGTCGGTTTGGGGAGCCGCAGTCGCCATATTCTGTCATTGGGGCTGGGGGTATTTGTTAGCGGGCTCTTCCTACCTCCTCTCTCAAAGACTGAAGAAACTGGCCTTATGTTGGCGCTGAATATTAGGTTGGCAGTGTGGTTTTTTTATGGAGTTGCAATGGACAAACCACTAAAGCTTTCTGAGAGCCTGGAGCTACCTTGAGTGTGTGCTGTCCTGCCCGTTACAGCAGACGACCGGTGGCAACCCAGGGACTCAGGAAGACTCTCCAGTGCGTCGTCCTAGGGGGGTCATTAAACCCTTTTGAGAATTAAAGCTGAAGCCACAAGTAGTCAGAAGAACCATGCACGGCCCTTGCTTCACATATGACTTGGGTCTTCTGACTTCCACTTTAGCATAGTGGAACCCCAAGTTAACTGGCAGCTCCGCGCAGGCTGCCACCCCATGCCCCACTAACCAGCACAGCTACTGCTTCCATCACCATCGCCGCTATGCTAGGACTAGGACAGGAGAGGCCCCGTGCTGGGTGATGACTGGAGATGCTCCTTTCTGCTTTTGAGGTCCAGTGTGAGGGCCTTTTTCTGCTTGAGTGTCCTAGGGCTGCAGTGAGCAGCAGGGCTTAGTCCCCAGCAGAAACTCTGGGAAGGACAAAGCTTGGGGGGCTTGAGATATTTGTATGTGCCTAGCTTTGGGGTCTAAAAACTGCTAAGCTGAAAAGAGATACCATCGGTTTAGTCCACACCACACATGTATGCTGGGAAGATTCCTCAGTCTCAGAGGTGAAAGTCTTGATGGCTAAGTGGAGAACTGGATAGTTGCAGAACTTCACCTAGAGATGGGAAAATTCCCTCTACTTGCATAAAGAACAGACTGTAGGTTGGCAAACTACAAACTCTCAACGCCTTTGTAATTTGCTACAGCCATCACCTGTGGGGGAAGGAATCCCACACCGTCCTCAGCTACTGCTGGAGAAGACAGGCAGCGGGCTGAGGAGGACTGAGTTCAAATCCAGCCTGGGCTGAGTCAAGACCTCCGTCTCAGAAGAGGGTGGCTGAAGAGAGGCTCAGCAGCTAAGAGCTTGAACTGCCTGTTTGGTTCCCAGCACCCATATAGTGGCTAACAAAGTCCGTAATTCCAGTTCTGGGGGATCTGACACTCTTCCAGCCTCTGTGGGCATTGTACTCATGTGCGTGCACATAACTTTAAAAAAACTACCCAATAGTGCTGGGCATGGTGGCGCACACCTTTAATCCCAGCACTTGGGAGGCAGAGGCAGGCAGGTCTACATAGTGAGTTCCAGGACAGCTGGGGCTACAGGGAGACCCTGTCTCAAAAAAGCCAAAAACAAAAAACTACCCAATAGGAAAAAATGACAACCTAGTTTACTCTCAAAATGCCCTTTCCAGGCTGGGCCTGGTGGTGCACGCCTTTAATCCCTGCACTCAGGAGGCAGAGGTGGAGGCAGGTGGATCTCTTGAGTTTGAGGCCAGCCCAGTCCAGGCCAGCAGGGGCTACAGGAAGACCTTGTCTCAAAAAGATGAAGGCAGCTCTTTCCAGTACTGTATTGTTAACTGGAATGTGCTTATTTCTAATATTTTGTATGAGTATGTAAGTGCATCTGTGTCATGCAATGCCTACAGAGGTCAGAAGAGGGTGTTGAATCCCCTGGAACTGGAGTTAACAGTTGTTAGCTGCCATGTGGGTGCTGGGAATTGAACCCAGGTCCTTTGCAAGAGCAGCCACTGCTCTAACTGCTGAACCAACTCTCCAGCCCTGTTTCTCGCTTCTCATTCCATAATTAGAACCACAAAGAGCCAAAGCACTGAAGGAGCTCACCCAAGGTCTGAGTGGTGTAAGCAGGCTTTTTCTTTTGGGGGTTGTTACCCCGTCTAAGATAATCTCTACTAGCCCCAAGGTAGTCCCGTCCCCCTCCCTGCCAGGGCTCTAACATGACCTGTCAGCACTGGCTGACAGCAGCTCAGGGGATGGTGTCAACCCTGCCAGCCTAACAGCACTGAGATCCGAGGACATCCACAGGCCTGAACACACCTGGAGCTGGTCCCTTCATCTTCAGCACCATCTCACCAGGGGATGCAAACCCTTGCCAGACACGGTGCTCGGTGCTCGTCCCTTCTAACAGACCTGTCCCCTCCAGCACGCAAGCTCTCCCACCTTAGACCCTCCCTCCACAGTCCGACTCTCCCGTTCTCGACGAGAAAAGCCCTGCCGTGATCACCCCAGACCTCAGCGCAGCTTGTGTGCAGCCTTGCCTGCCTCCGTTTGCTGGGTCCAATGCTGGAGGCTGGTTCTAGCTACTCAGGAGCCTGAAGCAAGAGGATGGCTTGGAGTTCAAGGCCAGTCTGGGTTACATGTCCCTGACTCAAAAAGTTCTGGAGGGCCTCCCCTACCTTACAGCTCCCCACTTTTGTGCCATAACAGAACAGGCTGGAGAAGTCAGCGAAGTCAGGAAGTTCAGTATGTCCTGAAGAACCCCACTGAGCTAGCCCACCGTGCATGAGGAGCTGCAGGGTACAGTGACAGTGACTTTCCTAGCACAGCCCAGCAGTCCTGGCATGTGGAATCAAGATGCCCTGCATCTCCATGTGACCTGCTTGGGTGAGGGGACCCCCTTGCCTGTCTACCAAAGACCACGCCTCATGCCAGTGGTTAAAAAGAAACTTTATTTTACAAAATTTAAAACATTTAATATTTACAAGCATCTTAAATAGGTTTAATACTTGACATTTGGTAATCTGTTCAAACTGAGTTTTCCACAGCGTTTCAAATGCGGGATCATTCGCCTCATGAGCCAGTACTTTTGTCTCTACCCTTCTAGGGAGTTTCTGCCTTTTCAAAACTGGCCATTCTGTGGTTCCTTAGAAAGCACACTGCTCTCTAAATGACCGATTTTAAGAACAAAGTCATAGGCTTTTTCTACCACAGTTGCAGGCTGATTCCTAGAGACCCAGGCTTCCCTCCTATCCTGTCACAGCGGCCATGGTAACATCCTGACATTCAGGTCCTGGCGCTAACCCTCACCCACCCTCCAGCTTGGGTTTGCTAAAAACAAAGCCACAGAGGTAGCAGGGAGCAGACACAGCCTGCCTGAGACCCCACTGCTGCCAGCAGCTGAGAGCCACAGCCCGACCCAGCTTCCTTCAGGACCTCATCCAGGACAGTCTTCTGGAAATGGGGGGGGGGGGATGACGACGACACAGACACACATGCCTCAGTGGCACCACAGAACGGACTTTAATCTAGACATCTCAGTGGTCACACATAGGAAAGGCAGTCTGCAGCACTGTCCAGGTTTCAGCACAGGGGCCTTACTACCAGTTGTGTGTGTGTGAACACTGTGCCTGAGAGGCGCCTGGCCCGCACACTCTGCATCCCAAGAGCAGTACACCATGTCCCTGGGAGCCTCAGCTCAGCTGAGAATCACCAGGCATCTTCATCGGAGCAGGCACAAAGCCAAAAGAACAGGAATGACACGGTAAGAGTTACATACACTTTACTGTTTGTTTCAGACATCTTAGCGATTTAAAAGTGTCCGTGGAGCCATGGGTGCTGGTGGTGGGAAGCAGCAGAGGGCTGTGGGCATTCAGACAAGACCTGTTTACAAATTCACAGCAAACCCCACTTCTGGATCTAAAATAAAGACATCTTTAAACAAAACCTGAAGTCTCTGCTTGGGGCAGATGCAGATCTGCTGGCTTGGGCGGCAGGCTCTGGCAGCACTGGGCACCTTGGTGCTGGGCACGCAGCCCTTCCCTTCACTGCTGTATGTTGTTGATCATGGCCAGGATGCTCATCTTCTCCTGGGCAGAGTCCACATCCTCGGTCTGCTTCTGGACCACGCCCGTGCCCAGACCATAGAGGCGCCCACAGTACTTGGCATCATCAATACTGTCTTCAAAGAACAGCTGCAGAATAGGGCAGAACCAGCTGAGGGATGGGCTAGGAGTCAGGCCACCACCCAGCTTCTTATGCCCTGACCCCTAGCAGACTGAACACTAACTCAGCAGAGAGGTGCCAAGCATCCCCCAAGCAGGCTCTTCCTGTCCCTTTACATCTGGGCTCTGCGTCCTGTGTTGCTGCTGTGGAAGCAGATGCCCCCAACCAAGGCAGTGGCTAAGAGCTCAGGCTCCACAGGCCCCTCTGACAGGTCCCCTCACTAACTCACAGGCCCCCACCCTGACTCACAGGTCCCTTCACTGACTGGCCCTGGCCAAGTCACTGCTCTCCTTCCATCACATTTCCTTCTGTGTAAAACGGAGTCATCTAAGCCAGGCGTGAGGGTGGACACCTGCAACCCTGACACCCAGGAGGTCAAGGCTTGGGGAAACCATGGGTTGGAGGCCAGCCTAGGCTACACAGTGAGTTTCCAGGACAGTCTTCACTACTGAGTCCTCAAAACTCAAAAAAAAAAAAAAACCACACAAACACACATAATCCACATCCACACTCCTCACTCCAAAAGGACGTTCCTGACATTGATGCAGGCAGCCTTACACTCAGAAGGCTTCATGCTCAGGAGCTCTCACGTACGAGGCCTCACTCTGGAGCATACCTCTTTCATCCTGAAGAAGGCCATCCCCGTCAGGAGGGAGTCTGAGCCTGCCTGGTGCTGCCTTCCAATTCTCTGCAAATCCAGCTGATCAGCTACCTCCTGAAGGCCTCCCTGATGATAAGGAAAACAGGGGTCACAGAGCAGCACCATGTCCACTTGTGCACTCACTACTGAGCAGCACTACCCTCCTGGACTCAGCCAAGTCCACTCGTGAGCTCACTTAAGCAGCAGGACAGGCCGTTGGTCAGTTTCAGACCTTCACTCTTCCTTCAGTTTACTCAACTCGGCTGCACAGCGTGCGTGTAGAGACCAGAGACAACTTTCAGGAGCCATGAGTCTCACAGCAGAGCCTCTCAGCACTTGGGTCTCTGGTATCCAACTCAGGTCATCAGGTTTGGTGGCACCCACTGAGCCACCTCACAGCCCGGACTGCTTAAACATCTTACAAGTGAATCCCTCTGAGAACGGAGGACGCTGCACGGCTGTCCATGACAAAATGTAGATGCTGCATGTTGCCAACTACTTAGTACAAGCCTCAGTGGAAGGCAGGCAGCCTCAGGATGCAAAAAACAGGGCTCCCTCATGCCCAAGTTACCACACAGTTCCACAAAGCTCTAGGAACACCCTGTCCTGCAGAAGTCTGGCATCTGGAGACCTCATGTAAGAGAAAAGGCTGCCACAGCAGTAAAGTAAGGCGGGGCTGCGCGCACCTCACTGCTGCCAGGATGAGCACTGTCTGTGTACCTTGAGGTTTTTGCAGCTCTTCATCAGGTACTTTACATCATAAATGGAAGGAAAGAAGAGATTCAGGATATGAAAAAACTCATGTTCTTCCTCTGGCAACCGGGAGTCTGTGAGCAACTTCACCATGTAGCCAAAGTCATAGCCACTAAAGGAGAATGAAACGGGGATCAGCAAGCAGTTACCAGCCCAGCACTAAACACCCAACACCGCCTCGGCCTGGAGACCAGCACAGCCTAATACACTCTGAACTTGGTAAGAACAGCATCACAGCTTCTGCTGGAAGCTCCAGAACTGCACAAGTACTGAAGAAATGTGCCTCTGAGGACCTAGGACGGGGGACTCCACACGGGCTGGAAGACAACCAAGCTCGAAACACCCTCCACCTACCAGCTTTAGGCATGTAGGACAGAGAGAAACAAAGCCCAGGTATGTGCCCAAGTGTTTCCTGAAAGCCGAACACGCAAGCAGCCCCCCCCACCCCCAACTGCTGCTGCTGAACAGCCAGCAGGGCTGCAAAGAGCCAATTCGATCCTCTCCGATATAGCCCAAAGGTGGGGGTGAGGGGCAGAAGCTCCAGGAACAGACCTGTGAAATGAGAGCCACTTGACATTGTCACAGAGAACCACTCCTGACGTCATCAGCAGCTCTGCGAAGTGCAAGGTGTCGATACCTTCCTCCTCGTGCTTCTCAAACTGCAGCCCAGAGTTCGCAAGCAGGTCGATGGAGTCCTGAGAGTACATGTCCTCTCTGAAAGGTCAAGACGGCAATCACCACCACACCCGTAATGCAAGCATCCTTGGGGCTGGTGAGATGGCTCGGGTTAAGAGCACCAGCTGTCCTTGAGGAGGATCCGGGCTGGGTTCCCAGCACCCACACGCTGGCTAACAACCACTCGTACGTAACTCCAGTTCTACAGGACCTAACACCCTCTTCTGCCCTCCATGGGCATTGCGCAACACAGGTGCACTTACACACACAGGCAAGACAGTCATACACGTGAAATAAAGTTGTTCTTTTTTTTTTTAAGAAAAGTGTCCACATAAAGCTCATCGGGTTTTATTGTTTTTTGGATTTTTTTTTTTGGTCTTTTTGAGACAGGGTTTCTCTGTCTCACTATGTCTCTCTGGAACTAAGTAGACCAGGCTGGCCTTGAACTCACAGAGATCCACCTGCCTCTGCCTCCCAAATGCTGGGATTAAAGGTGTGAGCCACCATCTTTTTTCCCTCTACTTGAATTTCCTAATTATAAAATATCTACATTCCCTGTTTTAAAAAAATAAAAGGTAGCTGGGTGTGGTGGTGCACACCTGTAGTCCTAGCACTTGGGAGGCAGTGGCAGGCCCATCTCAGTGAGTTCAAGGCCAGCCTGGTCTACATAGTGAGTTCCAGGCCAGCTGGGGCTACAGGGAGACCTGTCTCAAAAAGACCAAAAAAATAAAAATAAAAGGAAACCAAAGTTTGAGGATAGCAGAGTGCTTGCTTAGCACATACAAAGTCCTGGTTCAATCCCCAGCACCACATAAATCAGGTGTGGTGGCAGCATGAGACTCTCAGAGAGACAGAAACTATCACATGATCCAGCAATCCATGTCTAGGCACACATCCAAAAGAAATGAAAACAGAGTTGTGCCGAAGAGGCACACCCCCATTTACAGCGGCCCTGGTCACAGCAGCCCACGGGGCAGCATCATGCCCGCTTCAGGGAATGAACAAGATGGAAGAGATGCACATAACGCCAGGAGGCCTGTCGCCCACTGCAACACGACATCTTTGGGACATTCTAGTGAAATCAGGAAGGACAAATACAGCCAGACACTATGATGCACCCCCATAATCTCAGCACATGGAGACCGGGGCAGGTGGAGTCCCAGTTAGGGCCAGTCTGGGCAAGACTTCCAGACCAACATAGGCTAAGGACTGAGACCCTGACAGGAAAGCAAACAGTGCCTGACTCAGCACCTCGTGCTGCATGCCAGTGTCCTGTGTCTGCCGGCGTTCCCTGGGCACAGTGTTCTCAAGGTTGACCCATGTGCAGAACTTGTTCCTTTTCCTGCCTGACAGCATTCCACCGTGTGGACAGGTCACATTTTACCTGCTCCCAGCCCACAGACAACCTTTGCTTCTGGGCTATCTCCAATAAAGCTGCTGTAAAAGTTTACATGAACATCTTATTCATTTCTCTTTGGGCATATGCTTAGGAATGCAATTGCTAGGTCCTATGTAAAGTTTAACCTTTTGAAGACATACCAAACTGCTTTCCAGAAAGCTCCAAAGAATTTCACAGTCCCAACAGCAATGTATAAGGATTCTAACATCACACTTTTCTCAACAGCCACTTATACTGAGTTCTAGTAATGATTCGGTACTACGTGGTTGTTATGTCTGCCCTTACCTGCTCAGTGGGTGACAAGGCATAGAGGTCAGGTGTGGTGACACATGCCCTTGATCCCAGCAATCTGGAGGCAGAGGCAGGCAGATCTCAATGAGTTGAAGGCCAGCCTGGTCTAAATAGCAAGTTCCAGACCTGTGAGACTCAGTCTCAAACAAAGGAAAACTAAGCTTCCGTCTCCCCCATCCTCCTGGCTGCTCTGACCCACATCTACCTCTGTCGTACACTAAGCAGCTGCTCAAACACTTACGTGAGGTTGAACTTGAAGTTGAACTGCCACGTGTTGATTCCAGAAGGATATTCTCCTTTCTCATTTGTGAATGTGAGGCCCAGCTGGATAATCTTCAAAAGGTCAACATTGCACCGCAGGAGCTGATACTGGTAATCTATGGAGCTCCGGAACTCACCGATCGGTCGCACCACAACACCCGGAAACTCTGTGTCCTAGGAAAAAAGCCCTTCAAGTCTCATGAAACAATGGATGCTGAGCTGGAAATAAATAAAATTTTACTTCAGTCAGTTTGTAAGTCATGTGAGCCCAGGGTTTGCTGTAAACTGCCTTAAAATCCTATCTCGATGGCTCCTGAATGAGCACAACCCAATGGGCTCTGCACTTTGTGGTTGGAGGATGGCGCGGCAACAAGGCAAGCCAGTGGGAGACGTGTGGCTGGTTAGCAGCTTCCAATACACAAGTTCAAACAGACAGCAGGTGGGCAGGGAGGTGGCTCAGCGGTCAAGAACACTGGTTGTTCTGGCAGAAGACCCAGCTTCAGATCCCAGCACCCACATGGCAGCTAACAACTGTCTGTAACTCCAGTTCCAGGGGATCCGACAGCCTCTTCTGTCCTCCGGGGGCATTGCATGACTCGGTGCACTTATCTACATGCAGGCAATACACACATACACATAAAATAAAAATAAAATATTTATAGCCAGGCATGGTGGTGCATACCTTTAATCCCAACACTTGGGAGGCAGAGGCAGGTGGATCTTTGTGAGTTCCAGGACAGCTGGGGCTACAAGGAGACCCTGTCTCAAAAAGAGAAAAAAAACAGCGAGCAGAGATGGGCATAGAGAGGCATCTGGTGTTTAAGGCCAGCCTCGGCTACGTGAGGGAAAATTCATATATAAGGCAGCCATGGTGGTGAAAGTCATTCAGGAAAGGTAAAAAGCTGCACAGAGCCGGGCGTGGTGGCACAACGCCTGTAGTCCCAGCACTTGGGAGGCAGAGGCAGGTGGATCTCTGTGAGTTCAAGGCCAGCCTGGTCTACGTAATGAGTTCCAGGACAGCTGGGGCTACAGGGAGACCCTGTCTCGAAAAAAAGACAAAAAAAAAAAAAAGCTGCACAGAAAGGCTGAACCAGGATCACTGAGTTCTGAATACCAGACTAGCAAGGTTCATAGGACTCTCAACCAAGAGTCAGAAACTCCAAGTGGAAGACTCACAGGAGCAAAGGTCGGGTTGTGAAAACAGCAGCAATCATGGGCCTAGAACAGAGCACCTGCCTCCTCAGGGCCAGGCCCAAGATCTTCCTCCCAGTCCCCATAAACATCAGGCAGGAAAACGCACTGCATATTACCACATCATCCTATTTTCTCCGGAGATCTGGAATTTGACATCTCAGATTTTTGAGTGCTAGCAACGAAATGCTTAAATCGTTTTGAAAACATAAGCCAGGCATGTTGGACATGCCTGCCATCCTAGCACTTGGGAGATGGAAGCAGGAGGATCAGGAACTCAAGGCCATCTTCCTTATACAGACCAGGTTCAAAACCAGCCTGGGTTACATGAGACCCTGTCTCAAAAAAACTATTGATTACTATATAGTGGAATTCACAAGTTATGAACAGATGCCCCAAGAGGACGTAGTTGAGGGTAGAACACCTGCCCAGTTAGCATGCCGAGGCCCTGAGCTCCATCCACACTACCACGTCTGGCATGGTGGTGCATGCCCATGATCCCAGCACTCAGGATGCAGAGGCAGATCATCACAAGTTCAAGGATAGTCTGGTCTACCTAGCAAGTTCCAACATAGCCTAGGCTACATACCAAGATCCTATCTCAATAAAACAAAAATAGAGAAAAGACTTTCAAACAGAACATTATAAAAAGTCGTATTAATCTTGCCTGGTGTCAGCATGGAGGTACACACCTTCAGTCCCAGCACTCAGAAGGCAGGGGTAGGCAGATCTCTGTGAGTTCAAGGCCAGCCTGGTCTACATAGTGAGTTCCAGGTCAGCTGGGGATACAGGGAAACTCTGTCTCAAAAAGACCAAAAATAAATATATAGGAAATAAAAGTAGGAGTTGGGGTTTAGCTCAGTGGTAGAGCGCTTGCCTAGCAAGCACAAGGCCCTGGGTCCTCAGCTCTGAAAAAATAATAAATAAATAAAAACTCCTATTAGAGGTTGCACTTGCATCAGAGGCACTGTCTCGACTCATCAAAGCCATGCGTCTCTAGTGTGCTGAACATTCCCGTTCCTTTCCAGGCTCTCACACTAACGGTTTCCAAGCCCCAGAGGAAGGAGTCAAGGGAGGCCGCTCACCATAGCAATGTAGCTGTAGCGGAGGACGATTTCCCGGATCTTCCGCATCTCCTCCTCAAGATTGCTGGCCCACACTTCACAGATGACCTGGCTGTTCTCCACCAGCGCCGCAGGCATCCTGAAGCCCTTGCAGGAGCTGCTGCCCGCCGACTATGTGAGACGGAAAGTCTCCCACCTCTGATCTGATAGCCAACACTGGATCCGATCCAGATTTTAAAAATATATTTTGAAATCATATAAGTTTGCACAATAGTATAAGATGTCAACAAAACAAAACAAAACAAAACAAAAATCACATTATTTTAGCCAAAAATGGTGACAGGTACATCATCCTCAGGGTGAGACAGAACAATCAAGAGTTTGATGAGGCCAGACTGGACTTCACACCCAGTTCATAAAGGCCAACCAGGGATACACACCAAGACCCTGTCTTAAAACAAACATTTTGGGGGCTGAAGAGATGGCTCAGAGGTTAAGAGCACTAGCTGCTCTTGCAGAGGACCTGGGTTCGATTCCCAGCACCCACGTGGCAGCTAACTCCAGTTCCAGGGGATCCGACGCCTCTTCTGAACCCTGCAGGCATTGCACAACACAAGTGGCGCTTACACACATGCAGGCCAGTACACTCATATACATAAAATAAAAATAAAAATAGGCTGGCATGGTGGCGCATGCCTTTGATCCCAGCACTTGGGAGGCAGAGGCAGGCGGATCTCTGTGAGTTCAAGGCCAGCCTGATCTACACAGTGAGTTCCAGGCTAGCTGGGGCTACAGGGAGACCCGTTCTCAAAAAGACCAAAAAAAAAAAAAAAAAAGGAAAAAAAAAAAAAAAAAAGCCATACTGGACATGGTGGCACAGGCATTGAATCCCAGGAGACCAGCCAGGGCTGCCCTGTATAGGGGATGCAGTCTCAGAAAAACAAACAAGAGGTGGGTGTGGTGGCTCACACCTTTAATCCCAGCACTGGGGAGGCAGAGGTAGGCGATCTCTGTGAGTTCAAGGCCAGCCTGGTCTACATAGTGATTCCAGGCCAACTGGGGCTACAGGGAAACCTTGTCTCAAAAAGACCAAAAAGAAAAGGAAAAACAAGCTGGGCTTGGTAACATTGGTAACACAGGCCTCTAGTCCCAAAATTGAGGAGGCAGAGGCAGGTAGACTTCTGTGAGGTCTAAGACAACCTGGTCTACACAGTGAGTTCCAGGCCAGCCAGTGCTACATAGTAAGACCTGTCTCAAAAACCCAAAATAGGGCCGGCCGTGGTGGCACACACCTTTAATCCCAGCACTCGGGAGGCAGAGGCAGGCTGATCTCTGTGAGTTCAAGGCCAGCCTGGTCTACATAGTGATTCCAGGCCAGCTGGGGCTACAGGGAGACCCTGTCTCAAAAAGACCAAAAAAAAAAAAACCCCAAATAACAAAAAGTGAAATTCTGCCACAGCCTCTCTAGGTATGACAGTACACTGGGTCTCCGTTTTTTGTGATGGTGAAGCTTGCCTCTGTGGAGTTTTCTTTCTCCCGATATAAAAAAAAATAGTCCCACCTGCTGACCTGAACCCTCAACAGTTAGTAATGTCTACTCCTTACACACGATAGGAAGGAAGCCGGGCAGTAACTTCACAGTGAGCAGACAGGGAAGTACCCCACAGGAAAGGAAGTACTCCGCCCAACCAACAGCCTCTGGCTTCACTACAGGTTGCAATGCGCACACTGTGAAAGGCTTAGAAGAAAAGCGACTCCTGGGGATGTGGCTCTGAGGCTGACCTCCGGCATTAACAGGCCCAAGACACCAGTTTGGTCCTACCACCACCATCACCACACCCACAACACACGCGCACAAATCACACCGTGACAGGGTTCTGTGGCATCAGCCCTGGAGTTTGACTACAGAGAAGTGTGTGAAGCACAGGGAGACCCTGAGAAAAAACAAAGACTTGTAGGAGCGTTTCCTTGTAAGGCAACCCCGCCGCGATCCTCAGCATAGAAGGCAACGGTGGGCTCGGGTGCCTGGGTGAGGGGAAAATTCACAGAACGGCTCGGGGGGCCACAGACTGCAGAATGTGGGCCTGGCTCTCCCACAAGCATCTGAACCAACCTGCCGGTCAGTCCTTGAGATGCCACACACTCAGGTCGCTCCCTAAAACTAGCGGCCTGTGCGGGTCCCCGGCAGGGTTCCTTTCCTCCCTGGTCTGGGTTCTAGTAGCCAGTTCATCCTGCACAGGAACTAATAAAGAACAGGACAGACCCACGTCTCACCAGAGGTGAGAAAAACCCCACACAACAACCGAACAAATGTTGAACTCCGAACCATACTTAAACTTTCCCCAGGATAGCCCTCAAACTGTGACAGTCCCCTGCCTCGGCCTCCCAAGAGCTGCAATTACTGACACAGCCACCACACCTGGCTCATCATTTCCCACGTCCACGCACCGCGGACTGGAGCCGCTTCCTCAATTCCCCAGGCACCACGTACCCTAGAGCCAACCTGGGCTTTACAGAGACGTCCCATAAAAGCCAAAGGGCCACAGGCGAGGGAGGGGGCGAGGGAGGGAGGAAAGGGAAAGGGAAAGAGAGCGCGCAAGCCTCGGTCTACAGGACAATGTCAGGAAGCCGAGCACCTTAGACAGTCACTGTTAGCGCTGGAGACAGGGCTCGGCGGTTAGAGCGCCGGTTGCTCCTGCAGAGGACCCGGGTTCGATTCCCAGCACCACTGGCGGCTAACAACCGTCCGTAACTCCAGTTCCAGGGGGTCCGCCGCGCTCGTCTGACCTCCGCGGGCGCTGCAGGACACGATGCGCTCACATACGTGCAGGTATGCACTCATACACAGAATAGAAACACGCGATGCACGCCTGTAGTCCCGGCCCTCAGGAGGCGGAGGCAGGTAGAGCGCTGAGATTCGGGCCAACCTGGGCTACATGGCCACAGGAAGGCCCGGCCTCAAACACAGTAACAGGCTGCATTCCGACTGCGCCCAGAAGGCGAACACGCGCACGCGCACCTGCCCTCCGCCGGCCGCACGCCGACCAGCTCCCAAGGCTCCTGGAAATCCGCTTGGGAGCCGAGGTCCTCGTCCATCCAGGAGCACCGAGCACCAAGCACTCCGGGCGGCGCAGACCAGACTCGCCGGGAACAGTCTCCGGTTTGTTCTCGCTGCAGAGAAGGAACCACCGTCACTTCCCGGGCTCGGCCGAGGAAGCGGCGCCGGTTAGGACACCGCCCCCGCGACCAGCGAGGACTCGGCTCCCGGGCTCGGCCGGGCCCACGCGCCCCATCCGGGTCCTCCCCTCCAGTGACGTGTCCCCGCAAAGACATTCCCCTCGCAGGCCGCGGGCCCGACGCCGTCAAGGGGGGCGGCGCGGCCCTGCCCTCCATGCGGTCTCTGTGTTCCCAGGTGTGAAATGGGTCGACAGCGGTCGGCGTCTCCCGACGTAGCCAGGTGCCGGCGACCTGCGCGGCCCCGCTTCCGCCTCTCGCCCCTCCCTGGGGGGCCAGGCTCGCTTACCCGGGGGGCAGGCCCGCAGCGGCCGACTCCAGGCTGCGGCCCCTGACCCGGAGTTCTCCCCCTTGCCCCGGATCTGCTCCACGTCCCGAGCGGGCCAGCAAGACGCGAGCCCGGCGCCCAGAGCGGCCACAGGGAGCCTGCGCGGACCGCGCCGCTCTAGCCGGTCCTCCCGACTCGCCTGCTCCCGCGTCATCGAGGCGCGCGCACTCGACCGCGCCAGCCCCGCCCCCTGCACCGGCGCAGAACGAGAACGAGGCAGGTCGCCCGGAGGGCGCATGCGCATAGCGGCCGGCTTCCCCGACGCAGCTTTCCGAGGCTGCCTGCGCCGGATGTCTGGGCTCCGGAGGGGGCGGGGACGGACGGCGGCTGCTGGTCGGACACGTGCCTGTCACTAAGCGCGTCCTGCGCGAGGCCCGCTCAGGTCGTGGCATGAGCACGTGGCGTCCTCCCCTTCGGTTAACGCGCCCAGTTTCCTCGCAGCATCGGGGTGACCGGCAGCCGGGGGTGCAGTGGGCATCCGCTGAGGCTGGTTCCCCGGAGCCCAACAGGAGGGTTGCCATGGCAGCCGGAGGGTCCACATGCTCTAATCAGCTGGGGACCGCAGAACAGACAGCTAAGGTCTGCTGGGAGCTCCGCCCTGTCCCGGGGGGCAGCCGACACGGCTCCTGCAGGGGTGGTGGGGTGGTCCTCCCTCCAGACACCCTCCCTCCCCTGCACCCCAGCCTTCCCTTCTCTCGGGTCTGTCATGGAGGCGAGAGCACACGTCGACCACCACCGAGGAGGGCTGCAGTCTCAGTGTACCTAGCCATGCTTCTCTCGGAAACAATGTCCACTCTGCGAAGTCTGCAGGGATGCAGAAGGGCCAGACCAGCCTCTCCCGGTCCCTCCTGCTTCCCACCGGGTGGCGCGGTCAGGTGCTAATCATGTGAGGAGCGGCTTCCAGAATCCCTGGAATTTTGTTTTCTCCTGCAGTCTTGGGGGTCTGAAGGGAACCGAAACAAACAGGAAGCTCGTTTTCTCACACATAGAAACCCCTCACCTAGTTTTCCCCGGATTACTGAAGGTTAATATAAACCAAATGGGAACTGTATTTCATCCCACTGGAGTGGAGGGTTTCAATGTTAAACAATGAACTTTAAACTGAAAGCCTTAAGAAAGGTTTGAGCAAATATCTTCAATTAAGAAAGTAAAAGTTTAAAAATAAAAATCGACGGGCGTGGTGGCTGATGCCTTTAATCCCAGCACTGGGAGGCAAAGGCAGCCAGATCTCTGTGAGTTCAAGTCCAGCCTGGTTTATATAGTGAGTTTCTGGGGCTACAGGGAGACCTTGGTCTCAAAAAGAACACACACACAAAAATAAATAAACAGTGGTCTCCTTGGCCAGCCTCCAAATTACACGTTTCTGGAAAAGTATGTGTAGGAAAGTAAAATCTAAAATATATGAGTTAGAAATGTTTTGAAAACAGATAAATACCTCCAGGTTAGTACCAGCACAAGTCACACTCAGGCCACATCTACAGAACTTGACGTCCACAGCAGTTCACAGCCTGATTGCTTACATTTTCTGAAGTGTCATGAGGTGTGCTACTTTGTATAAAGCTGTCCTTCACTGTAGCCAGCACCGAGCTGCTTTTCCTGAAAAGCACCGACTCTTCTTGGTTACAGGGTGGCTTAAAACACCTTCAAGCCAGGGTAGAGGCCTGCACTTGGATCCCTCAGGGCAGGATTACAGAAAGTTCCAGGCCAAGCAGAGTACATATCCAGACCCTGTCTCAAAAATAAACTGGACATAATGGTCCACACCTTTAATCCCAGCCTTCTGGAGGCAGCGCAGGCGGATCTCAGTGAGTTCAAGGCCAGCCTGGTCTACATAGTGAGTTCCAGGCCAGCTGGGGCTACAGGGAGACCCCCGCCTCACTCAAAAAGACCAAAAAACCCAATAAAACCATGAAGCTTAGGTCTAGAGAGATGGTTCATTGGTTAAGAGCACTGACTCTGGGGGCTGGAGAGATGGCTCAGCAGTTAAGAACACTGACTGCTCTTACAGAAGACCTGGGTTCAAATCCTAACACATGCTGGCTAATAACTGTCCATAACTCCAGTTCCTCAGGCATTGCATGACACAGATGCACTCACATACGTGTAGGCAGTACACTCAGACACATAAAAATAATTTTTTTTTAAAAAAGTACTGACTGTTCTTGCTGAGGACCCAGGTTTAGTTCCCAGCAACCACATGGCAGCTAACCATCAGTAACTACAGTTGCAGGGTATCGCACGTCCTCTTCTGGCCTCCATGGGCATTGCACAACATGGATGCACTCACACATACGCTGATAAACACTCAAAAAATAAATGATTTAGCTGGGTGTGGTGGTGCAGGCCTTTAACCCCAACACTCAGGAGGCAGAGGCAGGCGGTCTAGGTAGTGAGTTCCAGGCCAGCTGGGGCTACAGGGAGACCCTGTCTCAAAAAGACCAAAAAAAAAAAGATTCTTAGAAAATACTTTAAAAAAAAAAACAAACTGAAGCTCATGTCAGTGCCCTCAAAGATGGGTACACTTTCCTACACGCAGGCATAACACTCATAAAATATTTTTAAGTTGGAGGTGAGCTCAGAGTTTGGCCCACAGCCCTGCTTCCAAGCTCTTGAGCCGCATGCCCTCTCTAAGGACCTGTCCTTCCCAGAGAAGGGCGTCCTGCTTCCAGCCCACACAGACCCAAACTTTTTCTCATCACGTGCCTGGCCAGAGCCAGTCGGTAGCTACGTAATGCGATCACCAGGGCCAGCCTCCCGACTCACCCCGCAGAGTGACCGCAGGGTTAGCCGCCAGAGCTGCACACCGCCCCTGCTGGCTGGACCGGTGCCTGGGAGCGCTCTCTGCAGAGGTGAGCGGGAACTGCTGGGGTGAAGCTGCTTGGGAGGAAGGCCAGGACACGGCCAAGTGCCCCCAGGCATCATCCTGCCCTCTTCCCTCCCCGCAGCTGAGCTCACCAGTTCCTCACCGGTAGGCCCCGCCCCTGTGTCCCATTTATGATGTCGCTTTTCTCCAAATGGTCTGGGTTCGACTTCAAACACTGGTGGGGTAGCAGTTCCCAAGAGAGAAATGAAACGAGAGTAACGGGAACCAATTCTTTGACCGGCCAACTGCCACAGTTTTCAAGAGTGTGCGTGTGCGTGTGTGTGTGTGTGTGTGTGAGTGTGTCTACCAGCACAGAGAGGCATGGGAGGGTTCAGAGTGAGCGCTGGGAGCAAAAACAGTGCTTTTCTTTAATCTCTGCATCTGTTTATGCAGCAAATGCTTCCTGACCGTCTGCCACATACCTGGTTTGTGTTTGGCTCTGTGGTCTCTTCACACACACACATCACGGTTGTAACTCATCCAATTTTCTTTCTTGTTTTCCTTTCTTACAGTGCTGGGTGTAGAATGCAGGGCCTGGAACATGCGAACCCTATGCTCTACCACTGAGCCGTGGCCCAGGCTTTACTACTGGTCTTTCTCCTTTATTTTCATTTTGAGACAGGGTTTGCCAGTTACTCAGGATAACTGTGAACTTGTGCCCTTCCTGCCGCCTAGGAATCTAGAGCAACTAGGATTGTAGATGTGTGTCACCACACCCAGAAACTCTTAAAGGGGACAAGTACCACACAGTGAGAAAGGAGGGTTACTGTGATCGAGGGGAGGGGGAGGCACCTCGCCTCCTTGGTTCAGCATTAGCCACTCTTCCCTCCGCGTAGACGCAGACCAGGGATCATTGTGCCTCCTGCAACCTTCTGCAGTGGTGCCCAGCCAAGGGTTGGTGAACAGCTGGGAGGCCCCTCCCCACGCTCTTCCCTAGGATGCAAACAGCCTGAATAGAGGCTGGGCAAGGAGTGTTGAACTGGTTGTTTGCTCTCTGTCATCTTTGCCATTTTGCTATCCCTAAAACACATGGGGCTGGAGGCAAATTGTAGTGTTTGGAGCAAGTCACTTAAATTGTTTCTGTATTTAGAGTGTGGGGGTGTGTGTGTGCATGTGTAGGTGTGGGTACACTCACCTGTGCAGGTATGCGTAGGCCAGAGGACAGTGCTGGGTGTCTTGCTGTCACTCACTGCCTTATTCCTGTGACACAGTGTCTCTCCCTGAACATGAAGCCAGGCTGACAGCCAGTGCACCCCAGTAACCACCTGCCACCATACTGGGAGACACTCCTATGGCCATGCCCTGCTTCCTCTGGGGATTCTGGGGATTTGAACTCAGGTCCTCACACTTGTGCAGCAAGTGATCTTACCCACGGAGCCATCCCCCAGCCCTGGCACAAGTCAGTCTTACTGTCTGATCCATCTCCAGAGCTACAAAATGAAGAGGAAGACCAAATGACCATGAGGTCTGGGTCTGGTTTTGGGGTTTGGTTTGTTAGTTGGTGGGGGGTTGGCTTTCTGAGACACGGGTCTTACATAGCCCAGGTTGGCCTCAAACTCTCGAGGTATCAAAGGCTGCCTTTGAACTTCTGACTCTCCTGTGTCTACCTTCCAAGGGCTAGGATTATACGTGTGCCCCACCATGCCAAACTTGAGATTTTTGTTTTTGTTTTTTTTTAAGATCCAGTGATTTTACTTGTATCTATTAGAGATGTTTT